TACCGCAATGCTCAGTCATACTAGCTCATACAAACCAGATAATAAAAAATACCAATGGTACATACAAGTTGTTGCTAAGCGAATGGCTTGGTTAAATAAATTAATCGAAAGGGCTTAACCAAGTTAGATGTAAGAGAACTGAAATATATGTGGAGGCACTACACGTCGAACAGAATGAACGGTAGTCTATACCCCATTAGAGGTAAAATGATTCAGTGAGTAGGTAAGTGTGATGTTTGTGATATAAATGTCTGAGCTAGTTAGATTCTCATTCAATTTATTATAAAGTATAAAGCGGAAAGAGTTTCGTTTAATTAATTTCCTATCAAAATCCATTTCAGAATGTTTTTAGCAATTAAAAACAAAGCTGCAAACAAGGACACATTTAACGTCAACCAGCAACCAATCAAGATCGAGGTTCACAGAACAAGTTACGGGTCATACACGTGGAGAAATTCGAATACTTCACTTCTGCTGTCTGATGTTTGTGCTGCTGCTGATGATGATATTTTTCAGCAGAAGAACAATGAAAGCTCCACAATCGAAAAAAAACATCCAGCTCAGTGAACGAAACACAACACACAACAATTTTATCAAGCTGTTGAATGAAAATTCAAGATTATACTCCATATGAAGAAGATTTTCACCGTGATAATTATTTGAAATAGGCATCGAATGAACGGAATAGCTGTTTGTATCATACTGTAGTGAAGGAGAACACAGGTGAGGGCAACCGGATTGAATTTAACGAAAATTATAGAGTTACTCAGTAAAATAGGAAAACCATATTGTAAATCGTTCATTTGCAAAATATCAGTTCATCATATCGAACTGGACTGTTCCTGTTGCCAAACATCAATCCATTGTCACTATTCATGCATTTCATACAAATTCCATTGTTTTCTAACTCTTCCTTTCTTGATCTTCCCCCCATATTATGCTACCAGACTTTACGTTGACACTCACGTTATATACTACTTATAAGTAGTTCGCACCACAGCACCACAATACTATGAGATTGCTCAACAATGTACGTACATTCATAACCATTTTAATATAGATTGAATCTAAAAACTGCAACGTATAGAAGTATACTGATCTGTAACATGAATTTAACAAACTCAAACTGATCATACTGTCAGATGTTGGCTCACGGTGTTTAAAGGTTTAAGTGTTGACGTGCGCAAGATCAATAGTCCTGAGTTCGATCTCGGTGAGTAGCGATAGTCGTGGATGTGTACTGCTGCTGATGGGTTCAAAAAACCAGGAGGAAACGGTCGTCTTTCAGTGCTTCTAGATTTTTTTCGTACTGATCTCAGTCAAATAGTCAATCAGTAAATTACAATGTAGGACTTCATACGTACGTACATCAGTTCAAGTTACCATGTGGTGCGCGCTACTTATAAGTAGTATATGACGTGAGTGTCAACGTAATGTCTGGCAGCAGAAGATGGGGGAAGATCAAGAAAGGAAGAAGAGTGGGAACACAATGTATTTTGTATGAAACGCATGAATAGTGAGTGAAATGTCAGACAATGGATTGATGATGGATTGAAGATTTGCAGATTAACGATTTACGATATGGTTTTCCTATTTTACTGAGTAACTCTGTAATTTTCGTTATATACAATTCGGTTGCCCTCACCGGTGTTCTCCTTCACTACAAGCATACCACATTAGTACAGAAATGTAATTTTCAATTCAAATCGAATAGTAGTAGAGGTAGTAAATGTATTAGCAATAATCGGAGAGGTTAGGATTCGACGTCGATGTTCAAGAAGGATAATTCAGTGAGGTAAATTTAAAAATAAAAAGATAGAGGTGATGAGTAATTCAGAAGTTTAGATCTTCATAGAGCACAAAGAATGTATGCACCTGCGCCTTTGCAAACGGTTTTGAGTTATGTCATTCAGGGTCTCTAACCATCGTTTATTATCATCTCGCGGACCCAAACCAGGTAGTCTACATCTACCAACATGACTTAGTTCACTTGTCAGTGACTTCATGGATTTCTGCCATGTTTTGGTCTAGCCGCATCCTAGGTTTCTTCCAACCTATTCCTACACTACAAAACATAGCTCAACGAGTCAGTAACGATTTCTAAACAACCCCCCCACATACACACACCCACTCAAACAAACAAACAATACTTCATACATTAATCTGCCACCCTTACCTTGGGGTGGCAGATGTATGTTGCGTCTCCGAAACATGCCTACAAGATCCGAATAAAATCATCAATTTCTCTACTGATCTAAAAATCATTCATTCATGCCGTTAATACTAATTTCGAAAGAAAAAAACTTACACACACCCATAAACACACAAACAAAAAATAAACTCACTGATCAAGTTTCTCATCCATCTCAACTGGTATGACACAATGATCATTAAATACAGGTGAATAATTATCACTGATAATTTTTGAAGCATACTCTAATTGATCATAAAATTGATAAACAAAATAACTAGATGGTAGTAATTTATTCAAACGATTATTATTCATTAGTAATAATAATAAATTTGTGATTTTTATAATTTCAATTGTCAGTAAATTTCTAGATGATGAAGAATCGATTGAACATTGATTAGTGATGATGGTAGATTTATGATTGGTTGAAATTAAACCAGGCAATTGTTGAAATCTTTGCTTATAAAGTCTGGAAAAAACAAATGTTTAAACAATAACGATAACGATAAAATTAAATGTGATCAATGTTTCAATGAATGTGAATGATTGAATTATGAAATAAATATTTTAAATGGTTGAGTTATATATATAGTGGTGTGAGCTACTTATAAGTAGTATATGACGTGAGTGTCAACGTTATGTCTGGCAACAGAAACTAGGGTAAGATCAAGAAAGGAAGGGTTAGAAGAACACAATGGAATTTGTACGAAACGCATGAATAATAACAATGGATTGATGTTTTGCAGCAGCAACAGTGCAGTTCGATATGATGAACTGATATTTTGCAAATTAACCGTTTACGATATGGTTTTCCGATTTTATACTGAGTAACTCTGTAATTTTCGTTAAATACAATTCGGTTGCCCCACCTGTGTTCTCCTTCACTACAATATTACAACATGGTTCGAATAACTTACTTACGTGGTTAGTTACCCCTGCTAACTCCAAGTAACTTTGTTCTTAGCCTACCTTTCCAGTTCTACCGAGATGGCTAGCTATTCTTTTCATGTTTGTAAGGTGTCTCTTTGATCTACCATTTTTTTTCTATCAGCCTTTTTAAAATTTCAAATTAAGGTCTTGTCTTGTGATATCCATTGGGTAGTTTCTATAAAGTGTGTCCTGTTTACCTTCAGCGCTTTTTATCTAATTTGTTCTACCTCAAAAAGTAGGTAGTTGCTTATGGTGTCTTGGCCAACAGATCGGAAGTATTTCGCGAAGAGAACTATCAATAAACACCGCGCATCTTGTGAATAAAAGGCTTTTGTGGTTCTTCAAGTCTTTAATTCATACAATAGAATTGTGTTGACATTTGGTTGGGCAGTTGTTTCGAGTTCCAGATGTTCTTCAATTGTAGAAATACTGACATTGCCTTGCCGATCCTTATCTTTACATCTGCATTGGATCTACTTTGATTATTGACAATGATGCCCAGGCATGTAAAGCTTTCTACAGCTTCAAAAGCCTCTCAACCATATGTAATTTGGTTGGTGCATGTTGTGTTGCATTGAAGGATCTTGCTATTTCTTCCGCGTATATTGAAGCATACTGTTGTAGAGGTTGTTGCTACTACACTGGCCATCTTTATCTGTTTTCGTGTGTGGGATAGAATGGCTAGATTCTCTGCGAAGACCAGATCGTCCAGTTGCATCCAAACTGTTCACTGTATTCCATGTTATCTTTGAGATGTTAACGCTTTTATATTCCAGTCAATCACCTTGAGAAAGAGAGAGCAAGAGAGGAAGCTGCCTTGCCTGCCACTGGTTTTCACTTGGAACTAGTCTGTGTACTCTCCGGAATGCACGACTGCGTATGCAACCTTGCTTGACACTGCTCTTCACTTAGATAGTCAGAATAATCTAGAGATTATACAGTTGAACCAATCAACATTAAGCATGCTTTCTCAGTGTAATTTTAGGTTACTTAATAAATGTATATTTTTGTGACGTGATTGCTCCTTACAAACATGGGTCAGGTGTTAACTTTTCTATAGTCATGTGACTCAGTGAAATATTAGTGTTGTGACCTTTACATCAGCCAATACGCAACAAGGACAAAAGACTTGGTACTCTATGCCTGAAAGAATGCCCACGACCTAACTTAACTTAACCGAATAAGAAGAAAAACAACACCAATGATCACCAATCCAAGATTTCCTATGAGATTCCAAACATTCCTTTCTATGCATACAATAAGTAGAAGTTGACTGCTGTACATGAATGTGCCAAAAGTCACTATGAGTATAAACGGATATAATTGGTTGTCATTATTGATGACTCATTCCAGTCCATATTCACTACTAACTTATCAATCGACCAATCATATCATGAATAACAACTATTCATTCAATGATCAATTTTCCAATATCTATTTGAATTTGTTTTAAATTGATTCAGTCATTTCATTAAAATGAAGGGTGAATTTCATTTTGGAAGCTCAGTTTGTATAGTCAAATGAAAAAAAAGATGATGTCGAGCGTTATGAATCATTACTAATGGACTATTTTATAAGTAAAGTTACATAAAGAATTGACATAAATCAAATGGAACTTTGGCGAAAAAAAACACACAAGGATACTACTTTATGTGAGCTTAAAACTGACGGAGATTTATTCGTTACATCGTGCATGAATAAGACTATTCAATGAAGATGAAGGCCAATTTGAATGATAAAAGGAGAATTTCAGAAGATCAGAATGAAGAATAATGTAACAGGCAGGACAGAAGAACAACTGAAAAACTCATTGGAAACGGATTAAGATGAACAAGGTTTGATTTCGGGAAGAGTGTTCGACGTGTGGATACCTGTAATAACGATAGCATCAAGGTTATATTACTTACTAACGTAAGTCTGTAGTGAATGAGAACACAGGTGGGGCAACCGAATTGTATTTAACGAAAATTACAGAGTTACTCAGTAAAATCGGAAAACCATATCGTAAATCGTTCATTTGCAAAAGATCAGTTCATCCTATGGAACTGGACTGTTCCTGCTGCCAAACATCAATCCATTGTCACTATTCATGGGTTTCATACAAATTCCATTGTTTTCTAACTCTTCCTTTCTTGATCTTCCCCCCATATTATGCTACCAGACTTTACGTTGACACTCACGCTATATACTACTTATAAGTAGTTCGCAACACAGCACCACAAGTCTGCTATCCTACATGTAGCACAGGCCATCAACCAACTGTCTTCTTACCTCTTTTCCAGTTATTCCCAGGTAACGGCATACCTCATGGCACTGTTAGGTTATTTCCACACTGTGCATCTAATCCGCCTCTAGCGCTTTTATATGATTTCTTCTTCATCTGAATACCTGTTTATTCTCTCGCACAGTAGGTTATTGATGTTTCCGGCCTATGTAGATAGTTGTTTATGAGCACCTGTATCATTTTGTCGATGACTTTCGTATTTCCGCAACTTTCCGCTCCATACTTCCGAACTGCGTTGACATTCGTATTGAAAATTCGGACTGTGGTGTTTGTTAGTTGAGAGCTGTTTAGTAGAGTTCTAGATGTTTTGTAGTTGTAGAAATGCTACCCTTGCTTTTCCAATCTGTGCTTTCTGATCGGCATCAGATTCACTCTGTTTATCAAATCATCTCCTTAAAATGTGACCTATTTGGTGTATGTTGTGTTGTATTTTGTATTGTGAAACATTCAGCTGCTGAGGGTGAAGCTACATTTGTCATCTAAATCTGAATTTGTTGCTGCACGTGTGATAGAAGATCTAGGTCATCTGAAAAATCTAAGCCGTCGAGCTGCATACGAGTTATCTTCTGTATCCTGTGCTTCCCACCCAGATGTTGACGTCTTCGTAATCCAATCAACTACCAGAACACGACACCCGTCTACATTTAGAACTAGTCTACGTGCTGTCTTCTATGCATTACCTTGTAGTATGATCCATCGTAAGAATTACATATGATGGTGACTATCTTCTCATGCATGCCGCGGCTTCAAGGAGGCTTCTATAGTGTTGTCCTGTACACGCTATCCAATGCTTTCTCCTAATCAATGAAGTAGATGTATAGTAGTGAGTTCTATTCAAATGATGGTTCCACAATGATCCGTAATGTTGCAATTTGGTCAGTACACGATCGATCCTTACGAAATCCAGCCGGTTGATCCTGAATTTGTGCGTCTACAGAGTCCATAATTCTGTTTACCAATACTCTGTTGAAGACTTTGTCTGGTATTGAGATAAAAGTGATACCTCTATAATTATCACTCTTATTAAAATCTACTTTATTTCATTTCTCGATGAGATGTCTGTTTATACTTGTTATTCATTCCAAATCTTGCTGAAGGCAGCGTGCAGTATCTTTGTAATTACTATTTTACGTGCTTCAGCTGAAATAATGTCACGACCTGCTGCCTTGCCATTATTGATTTCTGTGATGACCATAATGATCATTCCAATTGTTGAAGTGTCAACATCGATTGAGATGTCTGTAGATGTTGCTTCGATGTTGAATGACTTAATTTGGATTTTACGTTTCTGAGCATGGGCCGATCAGTTGACCTTGAGATTTCATTTCCCACCAGGAAAATCCTTGACAGTGATTGGCTACTGTGTATTTTAGTGTGCTATTTTTATGACTGTCCCAAGGACCTTCCTATGATAAATAAATAAACGAGAGTTGTGAACTTGATTGCATTGTGTTTGCTGAATGTTTGCAGAATATACCTTCTACGCTATATCAAGACTTATGGTTAGCCATTGGATCACAGGGTAGTCTACCTGGACGCTGGTTCATTGTCTCGTTCGCGTTTACCGACTAAGGTGAACTCGTAATAATTTCAAGCATACTTAGTGACAAACCTAACAAGAAACTATATACTTTAATTCCTCCTTGATAAAGTTCCCACTTACTTATGAGAACAAATTAATTCTCAGTAATGTAACACAAACTGAAACAAAACTACATTTCTCCAATCAAATGAATTTTTATTGGTTGAATACCTAACCGTTGGACATTATCATGTGACAAATACACAAAAATACACCAATCAGAATCACATTTTAACAGAAGTAACCTTGAGTCGACTCTAAATCCTTATTGGTCCATACAGCTTGATAGCTTGTTTCCTATCTACCCCGACGTATGAGTCCAGAAGTCTGTATGCAACCTCGAGAAAAATTTTTTTTATTTCAAGCTGACACAGTTTAATACACAAATCAGATTCAGAAAATAAATTAAGGGGAATTTTCGAAAAAAAAATAAGGATTAGGGACATTAAATCATACAAAATTATTGATTGATTGGATCAATCAAGAGAGCTTATCACACAAAAGAAAAAAATAACTATACAATGATCTGGTCATACAATCAAGATATATAAAAATAATTATTTATTAAGATTATATAATCATTAAGTTAGTTTTAAGGCAATACCCTTTGTTCTAATCTTCATCCAAAGAACCTGATTCTTTGATAAACTTAATAACTAAAGTGAGAAGAATCGACAGGAAAGAAATAATTAGATTTATGCTGAACAGTGTGTCTCATGAAAAAGAATCGAAAAACATTTACGGGAGAGGTTAAACATACCATTGTTCACAAATAACCTGTTCTTGTCCAGCTTACATTCGAATAAGTGGAGATTTATAAGGTAGGATCGATAAAGGGGTCGAAATGTCGCTAAACATAAGTTTGTAGCACGTTGAATCCATCAATCAATCATTGTTAGACCACCAACTTAGAAACCTGGAAGGACTGAAAGACGGTCGTTTCGTCCTGGCATAGGACTGACTCATCAGCAATGCGCATCCACCATTCCTGCACCTCACAGGATTTGAACTCAGGACCTTCGGTCTTGCGCGCGTACACCTAATCTCTGGATTACTGGGCCGGTGTTACTATGTAACTCTGGTCAATCTCAGTCAGTCAGTTACAACGTTGAACTTCATACGTATGTGCATCAGTTCATGTTGTCATTCCACATTAGTGCAAAAACGCAAATGTCAAATTGTTAGGATATTCATTCGATATCCTAAGAAAATTATTGGTCGATTCCTAATGGTTATTTCCTACTGGTCAATTTTATGGTCGTCATAGATATCAATGTAACACACTCCAATGTTGGTTCTTATTAGTTGTACTGACTATCAATGTCACTTCAAATGTTGCTTCCTATTGGTCATCTTAACAGTCAATGTCATAGACTTCGATGCTGTTTCCTATTCGACCAAAATGTATGAATACGCATTACCTGTAACGTTTTATAACCAGGACCCGGTCCCGGATCCCTAATCCGGGATCCTAATTCTCTTCTGGATTCGGACCTCGTACTTTCTGGATGTTTGTAGAATACAGGTTCAACTTCATATCAAGATTTCTTTTTTTAATGAATGGGGGTTGCCGATAATCGGATTTGAGTAGCATGTCGTGTCACTGGATCCTCGCTCTCGTTTTCCGACCAAGATAAACTGGTAATAGTTCAAGCATATCAAAATGACCAGTCTACGTGCAGGCGTAACACAAATCAAATCCGATAGTGATAAAGATAGTAGAGGTATCAATGGTAATGAAGAAGACTAGGATTTGAAGACATTATTCAAGAAGTATGATTCAGTGAGTGAGATAAGGTTAGAAAGACAAAGGTAGAGGTGTTGACGAATCCAGAAGATTAGGATTTGAGAGAACACAAAGAGTGGATGCACCTGTGCCATTGCAAACAATTTCGAATCATGTCATTCAGGGTCTCTAAACATCGGTGACTTTCGTCGCGCGGACTCCAACCAGCTAGCCTAACTCTGATCAATCTGCAGATTTTGCACAACCTTATCCATTTGTCTTTGGTATTTACTGCCTAGTCACGGCGAACTGTCACAGGGATTCTTCACTTCAAGTGGTGTCTGTCAGGGCTGTCCACTTTCTCTATTCTTGTTTAATTTTATCATAGACATGCTACTAGATATAAGCTGATCCTCGTCTGAATTTTCAGGAGTAGACCTTTTACCAGGAGGCTCGCTTATCGACTTAGAATATGCCGATGACATTGTCCTACTTGGTGAAGACGCTGACAAAATGCAGAGTCTTCTGACTAGCCTAAGCAATCATCCAAGCATGTCAGGGATGCGGTTCTCAACCTCGAAATGCAAAATGTTGCTTCAAGACTGGGTTGCATCGGCACCTGGACTAGTGATAGGGAGTGAAGTAGTCGAACGTGTAGACCGCTTCACGTATCTGGGTAGTCTCATCAGTGATGATGGCCTGGTGACTGACGAAATCTCAGCTCGGATACAGAAGGCTCGATTGGCTTTTGCCAACCTGCGTCACTTATGGCACAGGCGAGATATCCGTTTGCTAACCAAAGGACGTGTGTACTGTGCAGCAGTTTGCTCCGTCCTACTATACGGATGCGAGACATGGCCGTTAATAGCATAGGACATTCGTAGGTTACTAGTCTTCGATCATCGATGTCTTCGAAGCACTGCTTGTGTATCATGGGACAACCGTATAAGCAAAGGTGTCGTTAGGAAACGAGTTCTAGGTAAGGATGGCAAATCAGTAGATGAAGTAGTGAAACTTCATCATGTGTTACGTATGCCTAACCACCGACTGCCGTGACGAGCTATGTTTTGCGGTGTAGCTGTAGATTGGAAGAAAGCTAGGGGCGGAAAAATCAAAACATGTCAGAAATCCATAAAGTCACTGACAAGTGGACTGAGTCATGTTGGTAGATGTAGACTACCTGGTTGGGGTCCGCGAGACGAAAATCACCGATGGTTAGAGACCTTGAATGACATGGCTCAAAATCGTTTGCAATGGTGCAGGTGCATCCACTCTTTGTGTTCTATGAAATACTAAGCTTCAGCATTCCTCATAATCTCTACCTTTCTCCTTCTAAATTTATCTTACTGAATTATACTTCTCGAATCATATTTTCGCTCCCTAATCTTCTCCATTATTGCTAATACTTCTATTATTGCTACCACTTTTGGATTTGAACTGACAGTTAGATCTCTGTGCTGATTGATGGGACATGGCAACCTGAACTAATGTACTTATGTACGAAGTTGTATCTGTCTGATTGTCTGCCTAGTCACGGCCGATGAGTCTCATATCGGGACGAAACAACCGTCCAGTCCTTCCAGGTTTCTAATGCGGTGGTCTAACAATGATTGATTGGTGATTTCAGTGTGCAACAAACACTAATTTCCAGAACTCCAACTGAAAAAACATGAATTTAAGTCTCTATCCTAACTATTCTCGTTACTTAACAACAGATATTTTTAATTTAAAATGAAAATCTTACTGACATTCAATCAAAACATGTTAACTTGTTTGTTTTATTAAATAAGTGCCTTAACGATTACTCATTTGATAAAAAATTGAAATCATGAATCGATGAATGTTAGATCACTACAGGGAAGCACTGAAAGCACTAGACGACTGTTTCATCCCATCATGTGACTCATCAGCAGTATGTATTCACGACCGTGCAAGTGGAAATCAAACCAAAGAACTCTAGTCCTGTGTGTGAACAGTTAACTCCATTGGTGTTAGGATATTCATCCTATATCCTAAGATAATTATTGCTCAAATTCTATTGGTCGATTTCTATTGGTCAAAATTATGGTCGTTTCAACTGTCAAAGTCAAATACTTCAATGTCGTCGCTTATTGGTCATCCGGATTATCAATGTCACTTTAAATGTTACTTCCTATTGGTTGTCTTAAATGTCAATGCCACAGAATTCGATGCTGTTTCTTATTCGACCAAAATGTATAAATAGGCATGATCTGTAACGTTATATGACCAGAACCAGGACCCAGCCCCGGATCCCTAGTTCGGGATCCTAATTCTCTTCTGGATTCTTACCTCGTACTTTCTGGATACTTGTAGAATACATGTTCTACTTCATATCAGGTCTTCTTATTTAACTCAATATGGGGGTTGCCGATAATCGGATTTGAGTAGCATGTTGTGTCACCGGATCCTCGCTCTCGTTTTCCGACTAGGTAAACTCGTAATAGTTCAAGTATAATATCAAGTTGACATGTTTACGTGCAGGCGTAACAATTGGTTACTGTTTCTGATATTGATCCGAGCTAAACTTCATTATTTATTGTATGTAACACAAATTTGTTTTACTAATAATATTACTCTTATAAACTGAGACTGTTAAAAGTTGATAAGATGGCTTGAAAGATAATTCATGAATTCATTGCATTAATTTAAAAGCATAACTTACTTAATTGAATCTGCCATTGGTGTACATAAACGTATCCAATAGTCTAATGTTCCTAATTTAATTTGTTCTGTTTTTTCTTGTATGTTTACAGAATTATTATCCAGAGTAGTACAACAGTTTAGTAATAAATCTAACTGACCTTGACGACGTACAACACCACCTTGATCATTTTTTAATTCAATAGTATCATCTAAAATGGAATCGAAGAGATAAATCGATAAAACATAGAACAATTGAAAAATTAAGGATACTTTAGTTTTACTTTGTCATCGTTTATGATGATTTAAAAAAATTTTGTACTATTGTGTCAAGGCCACATCGACCGTATCTTCTCATGTCACATGTCCAGTGACCTTGTCAATCATTCGTTTATTATTTCGGTTGTGTTTGTTAATTTGTATGTCTGTGTACCTTTAAGAGAGTCACAGCGAAATGTATTAGGTTGGGATTCTCGTTCGTGGTATTATGGATGTACATTACTGATGAGTGCTGTTCTAGGAAGAAACGGTTGTTCACTGCTTCCAGTTTATCTAATGATGGTCTAACACTGATGGACTCATGATTTCAATGAGACTCAACAATCTCCACAACCTAATACTAACATTACGAACGTATTTGGTTTGCTTGTAATCCAGGTGTTATCTGTTAGGTTCGTCATTAAATATGCTTGAAACTATTATGGGTTCACCTTGGTCGATAAACGCGAACGAGACAATGAACCAGCGTCCAGGTAGGCTACCCTGTGATCCAATACTAACTAAAAGTCTTGAAGGTATATTCTGCAAACACACAGCAATCACAATGCAATCAAGTTCACAACTCTCGTTTATTTATACATCATAGAAACAATCTTGGGACAGTCACAAAAATAGCACACTAAAATACACGGCAGTCAATCACAGCCAAGGATTTTCCTGGTGGGAAATAAAATCTCAAGGTCAACTGATCATCCCATGCTTGGAAACGTAAAATCCAAATAAAGGTACCCAACATCGAAGCAACATCTACAGACATCTCAATCAATGTTAACCCTCCGACAATTGGAGTGATCATTATGGTCATCACAGAAATCAATAATGGCAAGGCAGCAGGTCGTAAGAATCGATCGTGCACTGACGGAATTGCTACATCACGGATCATTGTGGAGTAATCAATTGAATGGAACTCGCTACTCTATATCAACTTCATAGACTACGAGAAAGCACTGTGGAGGCTTCTTCGACACTACGGTGTGCCTGAGAAAATGGTTAACCTCACACGGAATTCTTATGATGGATTCAACTGCAAAATCGTACACGGAGGACAGCTAACAAACTCCTTCGAGGTGAAGACATCGATGATTTCTGGGCAGCATCATCGACAACCAAGGTGGATCCGATGCAGATGTCAGGGCGCGGATTGGCAAAGCAAGGGTTGCATTTCTACAACTGAAAAATATCTGGAATCCAAACAACTTTCAACCAAAACCAAAATCACGATTTTCAATACAAATGTCAAGACAGTTCTACTGTATGGAGCGGAAACTTGGAGAACTACCAAAGCCATCATCCAGAAGGTACGAGTGTTTATTAACAGCTGCCTACGCAAAATACTTCGGATTCGTTGGCCAGACACGATCAGCAACAACCTACTGTGGGAGAGAACAAATCAGATTCCAATGGAGGAGGAAATCAGGAAGAAGCGGTGGAAGTGGATAGGACACACACTAGGAAAGCACCTAATTGCGTCACGAGACAAGCCCTCACATGGAACCCTCAAGGCGAAAGGAAAAGAGGAAGGCATAGGAACACATTACCCCGAGAAATAGAAAAAGATATGAGAAGAATGAACAAACATTGGACAGAACTGGAGAAGGAAGCCCAGGACAGAGTTGGTTGGAGAAAACTGGTGAGCGGCCTATGCTCCATTGGGGGTAAAAGGCATAAGTAAGCGGGTCGTGACAGCATTCCAGCTGAAGCACGTAAATCAGTAACTCCAAAGATACTACACACTGCCTTCAGCAGGATTTAGAATGAATAACAGATACAAACAGACTGGAAAGAAGGACATCTCATCGAGAAACCAAATAAATGAGATTTTAGTAAACGTGAAATCCAAAATCCAAACATTTATCAAGCGAGTTCTGGGGGGTGGGATCTAACGTCTTCAACATTATCTATGAACAAAGTACCTACACAGTACTTTATTTTATAAAAATTCAATGTGTTTTTCTTCATGAAGTGACCTCTTCAAAAAAATCAAAAATCAATGACTAGTACCTTTTCCACTGAATAATTGTGAGAAATCAAGTTTACCAACAGCAATAGTACGATAACTAGAATTGATAACTTGATACATTTCTACAGTACATGGTTCCTAGAACAAATAAATAAGAACACAAATGTTAAATGATAAGTAGTATACATATATGACAATGAAAGATTTGTTTCATTTCTAAACATGAAGGATAGTCGGTTCAAATGTTCATTACATTTTATAGGCTTGATAATTATGTTTTGTGTAAACTTCTGAATTTTCTACATTTGAAAAATCTTCATCGATCAATCTGAATAGCTCAGTCCTAAAGAAAGTGTTACGTATGCATGTGAACACGTCACTTGATATGCTTGAATTATTATGAGTTTACAAGAGTGAGGATCGAGGATCCGGCGACACGACATGTTGCTCTAATCCGATTGACCCACATCCCCCCATCGAGTAAAAGAAGCAGACATAATGTCAAATAGAACATGTATTCTACGAACATCCAGAAAGTACGAGGCACGAGTCCAGAAAAAGGCAAGGATCCTGAACTGGGGATCCGGGTCCGGGTCATAAAACGTTACAGATAATAAGTATTCATACAGTTACGTCGAATAAGAAACAACCTTGAAGTCTGTGACATTGGCTGTTAAGTCGACCAATAAGAAACAACATTTGAAGCATGTGACATTGATTGTAAGAACGAATAATAGGAATTGACCAATAGAATTAGACTTACAAACAATAATTATCTTAGGATATTGAATGAATATCCTAACAGAAAGTCAGTAATAGTTTGAACAGATCAGTGTTAAATTTTCTAGACAGTTAAATTGGCAATGCTAATTTACCTGACGATCCCAAGTATTTCATAGGAATGATGTCAAGTAGCATAAAAAACTTAATTTTAGGATTTCTTGAAAACTATCTACAGTCACCTAACATGAAAGTAACCGAAATGTTAATAATTTATCATAAGAGGAATTGGTTGTCATTCCTTAAACATTACTTCACAGTGGGAAAACTAGCTTAGAAAATCGATATCCAGTAACTATGAATTGGGGGAAACTATATGTGTAAAAATATTGAATATGGTACTGTTATGCAGAGAGAAACAATGACAAACTAAGTAAGTTTATTGTAGAAACATTATTGTGTGGTGCGAGCTACTTATAAGTAGTATATGACGTGAGTGTCAACGTAATGTCTGGCAGCAGCAGAAGATGGGGGAAGATCAAGAATGGAAGAGTTAGAACACAATGGAATTTGTATGAAACGAATGAATAGTGACAATGGATTGATGTTTTGCAACAGGAACAGTCCAGTTCGATAGGATGAACTGACATTTTGCAAATGAACGATTTACGATATGGTTTTCCTATTTTACTGAGTAACTCTGTAATTTTAAGACAGATATCTAAAACGTTAGTGTATTTATAGTTTTTCTTACATGAGAAGATTCCAGAATGTTCCCTCAGTATCGGCTAGCGTTGATTGGATACGAAAGAGCCAATCAGCATGCAACAACAACAACGCAATCATGCTTTTTAATCCAATCCATGTCCCTCTAACACTGTCATACTTTGTTTTATGATTAAATTAGGCTAACTTAAACGTAACTTCTATACTTTATTTTTCTACCCTAAATGGCTAGTTTGGTCATAATCTTATCATTCTAAATCTTTGTACGTTGTGATCTTGCCATGTAAATATTTCTTCAAGTGCTTTTTCCGTAAATCGAATCAGGAATGAACTGAGTAGTGTTCCGGTCGATTAGTCTTCTCTCTCTCTGTGTCCTTGTCACATGCTAGCCTATCCAGCGATAGAATAGTTTTCTCCTTTCTGCCAAGGCCGATGATCAGTAATAATCCGACTCCTCAGCTACTAACTAGTTTCAAGCTCAACTAGACAGCTTATCACGTCAAGGCTTTTAAAACTAGAGTGAAATAGAATTATTAGTCGCAGACAGTTCAATGACATAACAAGTACTGTTATACATAAGGACCTTAGTGAAACTTAATGGTCACTTCTATTTTACAACTGCGTAAATATTACAGTTAAACTTTTATCTATCAGAAGATGACTTAACTAATTAATTTCGTGTTTTACCGCGTAAAATCTATCCAATAGAGGATGCATGTTTCGTCCCGTTTCGGACTGGATATACCTGCATCTCAGACCTGATGTTCATTCTGAAACTTGATACTCGACTCGAATCCCGAACATAACATGAAAATACGAGGTCGACAAGCACACAAATCAAGCTTATTTATACAATGATATAAACATCCTTGGTAAGTGCCACGAAATAGCATACTAAAACAATCCACTAACTAATGACCGTCAAGAATTTTTCGAGTAGGAAACTATTATGTTCATCACTAAGTATGCTTGAGGCTATTACGAGTTTACCTTAGTCGATAAACTCGAACGAGACAATGAACCAGCCTCCAGGTAGGCTACCTTGAATCCCCAAGCTGAAGTAAAAAGGCTTTGTAAGCGCAGAAAGTATATTCTACAAACACCCAGCAATCACACAGTACAATCAAGCATACAACTCTCGTTTATTTATCCATCATAGAAACGTCCTAGTGGGACAGTTAAGAAAATAGCACACTAAAATACACAGCAGCCAATCACAGCCATGTATTTTCCTGGTTGGGAAATGAAATCTCAAGGTCAACTGATCAGCCCATGCTGGCAAACGTGAAAACCAAAATAAGGCATATTTACCAAGCGAGTTTTGGGGATCTAATATGCCCAACAGAAACGTAAGCTAAGGGTGAACAGGCGCGAAAACAATTATATTAAAAATATGAGGTTGACAAACACACAGATCAAGTTTATTTATACATAATAGAGACGCCCTTGGAGAGAGCCACAAACACACAGATCAAGTTTATTTATACATAATAGAGACGCCCTTGGAGAGAGCCACAAATAGCGTACTAAAACAATCCACTAACCAATGACGGTCAAGGATTTTTCGAGTGAAGGTCAACTGGCGCGAAAACAATGAAATTCAAAATTCCAGGATAAAATTACAAAATTAAGACATTTTTGCAAATGACTCCTGAGAAACTAACATCTCCAAACATAAACTATAATTCATTCTACTGAATATTAATTATAAATCACAACATACATTTTTATATTTTCAATATTCCTATTTTACCTTTAGTAAATAATTCATTAATGTATCATTCACTTCAACTGGATATTGTACTGTCATATTGATATCTATTGAATGTTGAACATGTACAATTGGTGTGGCTTGTGTTTCGAAATCATAAAAATCCCATGTTAAAAATGCATGCATTATGGATTCGTCAATATTGTCGGTATTTTTATTGCTCATTTGATATTTGTGCAGTACAGATGGTAATATTTGTAATTGACCAATATGTAACTGATAGTGTGTTTTTGGTTGTGTTTTGAGTTTTGTTTTGTTGAAAAAAAAGTAAAATTGAAAACTGAATTATTCAAAATTGTTTAATTGAAATGACATGTAAGAGTCAATTAGATTGTTAGGTTGCATTGACATGATGAACTGATCAATATGAAATTACCATTTGACACTTGGAAGCAGCACTTGACGGCTCTTTTTATGAGATGGTTGAGAAAACTTTTAGCTCAGGTGAATGATTGCGGTGGTGTTTCATTCTCTGAGCTGGATGTTGTTTTGGTTGTGGAGCTTTCATTGTTCTCTGTCTGAACAACATCATCAACAAAAACTTCAGATGATGATGTTGTTCAGAAGGAGAACAATGAAAGCTCCACAACCAAAACAACCAGCTCAGAGAACGAAACAGCACCACGGTTTTTTTTATCCTAGTATGGGTCTCAATCAGAGTTCCATAATGTCCAATGATGGTCTAATGTTGATTAGTTCAATATATTTCAATGAAACTCAACAATATCAGCGATTTGTGATACTTAACCAACAGATTTCAGCTGGATTGGTTGAGTGGACAACTCAGAAAGTTTGAATGTTATGTACAGAATGAACACAAGTCCATCGAAATGGAGAATATGAAGTGTTGGGTTTTTGTAAGCAATTCAAATTATCAATCAACCAATCAAAAACAACGCAGACGTTCGTACGTACATACATCAGTTCAAGTTGCCATACCACATTAACACAGAGAGATCGAATTGTCAGTTCAAATCCCGTAGTAGTAGAGGTAGTAAACGTATTAGCAGTAATCGGAGAGATTAAGGTTTGACGATATGATTCGAGAAGTATAATTCAGTGAGATAAATTTAGAAAGAGGAAGATAGAGATGATGAGGAATTCAGAAGGTTAGAATTTGAGAGGACGCAAAGAATTAATGTGCCTGCACCTGTAATGCATACACGTAAACACGTCAGTTTGATATGCTTGAACTATTACAGGTTTACCTTAGTCGGAAAACGAGAGAGAGGATCGAGGATTTGGTGACACGACTCAAATCCGATTATCCCAACCACCATATTGAGTAAAAATAATAAGACTTGATATGAAGTAGAACATGCATTCTACAAGCATCCAGAAAGTACGAGGTATGAATCTACAAGAGAATCAGGATCCCGGGACCGGGTCTTAGTCCTGGTCATAAAACGTTACAGATAATGCGTATTTATACATTTTGGTCGAATAGGAAATAGCCTGGAACTCTGTGACATTGACAGTTAAGACGACCAATAGGAAGTAACATTCGAAGTGACATTGATAGTCAGGACAACCAATAAGAAACATCATTGGGGCACGCGACATTGATATCTAGGACAACCATAAAATTGACCAGTAGAAATTAAACAATAAGAATTGACCAATTATTCTCTTGGGATGTTGGATGAATATCCTAACAGCACCATTGCAAACCGGTTTTGAGCCATGTCACTTTGGGTCTCTAACCATCGATTACTATCATCTCGCGGACCCCAACCAGGTAATGTTCACCTACCAACTTGGCTCAGTCCAGTTGTCAGTGACTTCATGGATTTCTGCCATGTTTTGGTTTGGCCGCAACTAGCTTTCTTCCAATCGACTCTTACACTGCAAAACATGGCTAATCGGTTCTGTCATTTAAGTAACATCACATACTACTAAAAAAGCATTATAAATAATCTTAATTATAATCTACGAAACTGATAATATTATTTACAGTTCAAGTTACATTTAATGAAAGTTGAACATTGATCAATGGCAAAATTGAAAATAAAAAAACCAATATGTAGGCGCGTCAGAAATTTTAATATAACATTAAGACGAAACGGGCCTTAACTCATCCGTCTTTATATTAAAAAAATATTTAAGACTTAATTAGTAATAGGCGTTCCTATTAATAATAAATAAGGCAGTATAAATCTACACCAATAAATGATGACATGAAATACAGTTGTTCATTATATTTTGATTAAAAATCAGTACTAATTGTTTCTCAGAACGGATACAGAAGGCTTAGTTGGCTTTCGCCAACCTGCGTCACCTGTGGTGTAGGCGAGATATTCGTTCGATGACTAAAAGAACGAGTGTACTGCGCAGCAGTTCGCTACGTCCTGCTCTAAATGGCTGTGAAACATGGCCGTTAAAAGTAGAAGATATTCGTAGGTTACTGGTTTTCGATCATAGGTGTCTTCGAAGCACTGTGCTCGTGTATTCTGGGACAACCGAGTGAGCAATCCTGTCGTTGGGGAAACGGGACATATGTAATCGTGGAAAATCAATAGATGAAGTAGTGAAACTTCATCAGTTGAGGTGGTTGGGACATGTGTTACGTATGCCCGACAACCGACTGCCTCGACGAGCTATGTTTTGTGATATTAGGAATAGGTTGGAAGAAAGCTAAGGGCGGCCAAACCAAAACATGGCAGAAATCCATGAATTCATTGACAAATTGACTGAGTGATGTTGGTAGATGTCGACTGCCTGGTTAGGGTCCGCGAGACGAAAGTCAATGATGGTTACAGACCTTGAATGACATGGCTCGAAATCGTTTGCAATGGCGCAAGTGTATCCATTCTTTGCCTTCTTTCTCAAATTCTAATCTTCTGAATTCATCATCATCTCTATCTTTCTCTTTCTAAATTTATCTCACTGCATTATACTTCTCGAACCATATCTTCAAACCCTAATCTTCTCCATTACTGCTAATAATTCTTCTACCTCTACTACTATGTGGTTTGAATTGTTAATTCGATCTCTCTGTGCTAATATGGTATGACAACTCGAACTGATGTAGTTACTAACGTACGTTTTGCATTGTTGTTGACTGACTGACTGACACTAAACATTGAATGAATCACATTTGCATTTCATCAACCTATCAATCAAAAATATCAGTAACATAAATGAAAACAGTTTCTAAATGAATCCCATTCACATTAACACCGTTGGATGCCGGCCCAGTGGTTCGATAGTTAGGCGTTCGCGCACACTACCGAAGGTCCCGGGTTCGAATCCTGTGAGGTGCTGATGAGTCCCATACCAGGACGAAACGGTCGTCCAGTGCTTCCAGGTTTCTAACGGTGGTCTAACAATGATTGATTGATGATTTCAAATTTGTAACAACACAAACCTCCAAACCTCTGCCCCACAAAAATCCCATTAAGATCTTGGAAATCATATTTCCCAACTGAATATCCCATCACCATCAAACTATTAATGACCTTCAACAATACCGAGGCAGTACAATGCATAAAAATTCAATAAAAATAATATTATTTGTAAAATTTACCTCAATTAAACTTTCTCCTGGTTCTAAATCATCTTCGGTTGTGACTTTTTCAATGGACAATGGACTATTCTGTAGAATTCCAATTGAATTAATGACATGGGTAATTTTATCTTTTGAAACAATAATTATTCAATAATTTTTAACTAAGTTATTGTTGAGGATGTTAGATCCCTAGAACTCGCATGATTAATAATATCTTTATTTCGGATTTATTTCATTGGCTGATCAGTTGACCTTGAGATCACATGTCCCACCAGGAAAATCCTTGGCTATGATTGGTTACTGTGTCATGTTAGTGTGCTATTTATGTGACTGTCCCAAGGACATCTCTATGGAGCATAAGTAAACGCAATTTGAGTGCTTGGATTCATTGTGTGCTGGCTGAGTGTTTATAGAATACACTTCCTACGCTATATTAAGACATCTTGCTAGTACATTTGGGTCAAGGGATCACAGTAGCCTACCTGGAGGCTGGTTCATTGTTTTGTTCTCGTTATTCGACTAAGGTGAACGCTTAATAGTTTATAAGCATACTTAAAGACGCGCATAACAGTTATTTAAATCGAGTTTATTATTTGGTAACTCCGTTTGGATCCCCTTTGAGGTTATTGGTGGTCTCAAGCCCGGACAAAGCAAAAGGATTGGTCTATGGGGTTGGAGACCCCATCCTGTTGAAAAAAACTCTAAACAAAAAGTATTTAAGCCATAAAAACTCTGCCATGGAGAGAACAAACCAGGAAATTAGGAAAAAACGCTGCAGTTTGATAGGATATACATTATGGAACTCAGTCAAATGCACATCATGAGGAAATCACGAACTCGGAACCTTCAAGGTCAGGGGAGAAAGAATTAGACTCAAAAATCACATTATACATTGAGTTATAAATATGCATGAAAAGAATGAACAGTGATGACTGGGAAGAACTGGAGAGGAAGCCCTAAAACAAAATGCTAGTCGGTGGTGTATGCTCCACGAAGGTGTAACGGGTGCAAGTAATGAAGTAATTCTGCGCTGAAAGTTAACAGGTTTTCATTTAAGAGAATTGTCATGTCATATGGTAAAAGCCAAGTTCCTTAGAAAGTTACAAAGCCGATTGCCCTTTCCACAATCAGAGCAACAATGAATATGAAATATATAATTTCGTCCGTTATTAAACTGTGCCTTATGTTGATTTGTTTAAATAAACAACTGTGAATATGTTACATATTAAAATCTTCTGAGGAAAGTTAATTCATTTTAGGTTAGAGTGATTATTGTTTGACAGACAGACAGACAGACAGATACAACGCAAAACTTCGTACGTAAGTAGATCAGTTCAGGTTGCCATACCACATCAGCACAGAGACGCAACTGTCACTTCAAAGCCAAGAGTGATAGTAATAATAGACGTATTAACAGTAATGGAAATTAGAGAGCAAAGATATGATTCGAGAAGCATAATTCAGTGTGATAAATTTAGGAGAAAGATAGAGATTATGACGAATTCAGAAGGTTAGAATCAGAGAGAACACAAAGAGTGGATGCACCTTCACCATTGCAAACGCTTCTGAGCCTTGACGTTCAATGTCTCTAACCATTGGTGACTTTTGTCTCGCGGACCCCAACCAGATAGCTTGCATCTACCAAGATTATTGTTTGAAGTACAAACTATTCAGTTGCAGTGTTCGTGATTTTATGTGGATATGTGAATGATGGCTGTTTTTTGAATGAACCCATAACTACTCTAGTGAATGTGGATCTCATTAATCCTTGGTAAAGTTCATTTTGAAGTATTTTCGTACATTATAACAATGTTACAACAAATAAGGTAACCATGTTTTATTTAAGATTGCACTACGTAGAAAATTAACTCGCTAAAAAAACACTGTTTAAAAGTGAGTTATTTATATGCCTGACACCAATCTTTTTAGAAGATTTGATGAGTTTGAAAATTGTACACCGATTGATTGTTCCATTTAAACAGCACAGTGTGATTAAAATCAATAATGCAGATAGATCAACTACCAGTTCTTCTTGGTTTCTAAATTATTAGTCTGACATCGTAGTCCAAAAGTGGACATTGGTCAAGAGGATTGAAGTGGATTAAAATGACTGTTCTATTTATCATTAGCTCTCATCAATTGTTACGCTTTTATCAGTCTATGAGAGATTTTTTCATACTTACCAGGATAACCATACCTGAATCCTTGAATAATCAGAGAAATTGAGTTGTTTTTAATGTTAGGATGGAATAAATCTCAAGGTCATACCTTGGTTCATTGTTCAAAATAATATGTTATTAATACGCTATAATATTGACTCACTAAAAGATTGTTACATTGAATATATAGTTTACAATACCGTGTAAATTCAGTTTATATTAATTTTGTTAGGTTGCTGAAGTGGTTGCAACAACCTTCTGCCGAAGAGAACAAACCAGATTCCAATGGAGGAGGAAATCAGGAAGAAGCGGTGGAGTTGGTGGGTAGGACACACACTACGAAAAGCACCTAACTGCGTCATAAGACAAACCCTCACACTTGGAACCCTCAAGGCAAAAGGAAAAGAGGAAGGCCAAGGAACACATTACGCCGAGAAATAGAGAAAGACATGAGAAGAATGAACAAAAACTGGAATGAACTGGAGAGGGAAGCCCAGGACAGAGTTGGTTGGAGAATACTGGTCGGCGGCCTATGCTCATTTGGGGGTAACAGGCGTAAGTAAGTAAGTAAGCTGAAGTGGTTAGGAAAAATATACATGATCGACTATTGTTAGTGGATTTGCTTAAATAAACAACAGGTTCATGACTAATGAAGGATTTTTAGGCAAATTATTAGAGACGGTAAGAGAATCGAATAGAAATTCCTTACGAAATTTACTGAACCAGTGTTCGGAAACAACATTCATTTCAAGAAAAAATGTGAAAGACAGCCAAAAATCTTCTTGTTTTAAAAATGGAAATCTGAAGATAGGGTATACTGATTTTGTAACAAAACTGTTCTTAACATCTTTGCTCAATACTCCAGCATCAAACTGGCTAGTTAAACATAATCCTCTCTAATGATTTGCAATTGCCCTCAATCTAGTTTCCAGATAATTGTTAATGAACTGATTTTAGGAAACTTGTTTACCCATACCAGTAAAGCAAACTACTTGGCAATGAGTAAGTGCTGTAGGAAAGTCACTTTAGAGTGGATGACACATTTAAGAAACATTTAAGATTATTTATGGAATAGAAATTGACAGTTCATAATTTACATTTGATTAATTATTGTACTAGTTACTTATGCTTAAACCGTAAATAATCTAGTTATATAACGATGGAGATTCCCGATTGATCGTGTTTTAATATGTCAAATGAGTCATTCAGTCAAATATTGACAGACCATTCTAAGTTCTGATTGGACAGAATGAGAATGGTAAGAATTTACAGTGAACCAATAAGAATCAGTACACTTAGTAGACACATTGATCACGTGAAGGTCACTCGAATTAGTTGGCGTAAAGCTGACTCGCGATTGGTGGACTCAAAAATTTATTGATCTCATTCAGTGGTTATAAAGAAGCCCATTATTGTAAATCACATTCAAAACGATGAGGTATACACAGTGAATAACTGTAAAAGCACCACCTACCTTACGTTTATTCGATGAGCCATAAGCTAAATCGTGCAACTGATTTTCTAATTGTTTTATTCGATCAGCTCGAATATTTAATAATTTTCCATATTCACTTATACGTTGATCTGATTCAGATTTAAACTCGGTCAATCTATCAGTTAGTTCTTTTATTTCCACTTGATAATCTTTATTAATATTATATTGAACACTTAATAATTTTCGTGTTTTTTCCAACTCAGCAATTGTATCCGCATGTAAAGCTTCAGCTTCATTTAATTCTTTTAATGGGTCTATAATTTGAGGAAAAATTATCATATTAAGATAATCTGTAGAATATATATTTGCCGTCTTGGGTTCGATCAGTTGTTGAGTTGTGGGTTTGAACAGAGAAATGAGAAGACATATTTTGTGAGATAGTACCATTTCCTGCTTTCTCGTCAGTCACATACATGCAACATGTTATTCGTGTGTAAATAGTTTTTGAAGATAAGGTCAAAATTTCTTATTTAGCATGACATTCACTCACTAGAACCATGGTAAGCAAAGGTCAACATACAGTTGTTTATAAACACATAAGTTGGACTTTTCCGACCAATCAAGATAGCTTCGAGTAGTTTCAGTGTGTGTGGGTTTTGATGACATGTCAGAACTCTGAAGGCTGATTTAAGGTCAATTTGATGATAGCAACTGATGTACCCAAGAAACCAATGTACCTACAGTTAACTTTCAAGGGTGATCATTGCATGAAAATTACAACCAAACAGACTGCAGCTGCAATAAAAAAGACCTTCTGAGGCTTATCACAACAACCCCATTCAAGTCTCCAAGACCGATTCAGTCCAAATCCCACTGTATTTAACAATTCACATGTAATTGCGGAGAAAGTTACTTAGGTAGGACAGATCACCGATTGGAAGACAGGATAGGGGAACATATTCCAAAATGGTTAATCAAATCCATGATTCATCAACCTAGCCCTTCATCTCAAAATCGATCAAGAAACCCAGCCTCGTCCATTGCAAAACATCTAATGATGAGTGGTCATCAAATTGATCCAAAATCAGCCTTTATAGAGTTGTGACATGTCATCAAAACCCACACACACTGAAACTACTCGAAGCTATCTTGATTGGTCAGAAAAGTCCAACTTTATGTGTTCAAAAACAACTGTATGTTGACCTTTGTTTACCACGGTTCTTCTAGTGAGTGAATGTCATGCTAAATAAGAAATTTTGACCTTATCTTCAAAACTGCATTTACACACGAATAACATGTTGCTTGCATGTGTGACTGACGAGAAAACATGAAATGGTACCACTATCTCACAAAATATGTCTTCTCATTTCTCTGTTCAAATTTATCAAAGGGCACCACTGTTTTGAATTATGGATGTTTACTGATGATGAGCCTCATACTAGTCTTATAACAAGCCCCTTCAACTAAAAATGTTATCATACATTTAGGAAAGATTATGTTTTTTATTTATTTAAAATTAACGGTAGTCGAAAACCCCTACACTAAGTCGTTATAGTCTCTTCCACTCGAACCCTTTTAGGTTCATTCATGCAGTCCGGTTTTGCATAAATTAATATCTGAAATATGATAAAGATCCTGATCTTGCACTAATCCTGATCTTAGCTGCTACTTTGACGTGGTGGTCAAGCTTCCCTAGCGTAATGAGCCAACCCAGCTGCTATATTGGCTCGGACTTATGTTCCTATAGGTTCTACCATACCATTAAGGTCGTTTGAGAACGGTTGGATCAAAAGAAGCAACTCGAGGTCTGAGGGCGAAGTCATACTGAGGACTATAGAAAAGTGTGACAGTAGTAAGGTGTTTCCCTCACCCAACCCCATGGATTTCCGTTTCCGGAGGAAAGGACACTCAAAGAGCGGAGCTAACACTTTAAAAACCTCCCATAAAAAGGCCGTGCGTGACCGGCCTTAAGCAACTTTCACTTCGGCGCCGCGGTCACGTTCCCAGGTCTCTAAGGCCAACAATAATTTAACTTCCTTTCCAGGTTCTTCGAGAAACACCCTTCCACGATTTGGGCAGTCGGAAAGTAACATCCATCCTTATACTCGCGAGACCAAACTAGTCACTTGCACTGATGACCACTGAACTTGTGTTTTACTGGTGTATTCATGGCTAAAATGTTCAGCTCTCTCATCGTTGTTGTGCATTTGCTACTAAAAGAGGTCGTCTCTGCATATTGTTGAGTGTCAGGACACAAAAGAATCTGTAATGCAAACACAAACTTTGATGAATAATTTACAAGGTGAATTATATGATGTCCCCAATTGAATAAAAGTCACCTTAAATTAGTATGGGAAATATAAGATTGACTTTCTCCCATCATCACGGTGTATTTAGAAACTCCACATCTCAAACATGCACCGAGATATTTACGCGAAACAGATAAAATCAAATGGGACTTATTTAAACAGCTGATTATAGGACGCCTATTTTTGCAAAAGTCAAATCATATGACAAAGAAGAGAGGTTCAAACGATGATTTACTTCCGTTTAATTTTGTTACGAACGTACGTCACCACGTCAATTGATATGCTTGAACTATTAAGAGTTTACCTTGGTCAAAAAACGAGAGCGAAGATCGACAATCCGGCGACACAACAAGCTACTCCAATCCAATTGTCCCAAACCCCCATTAACCAATAGGAATCGACCAACAGAATTAGACTTACAAATAATTCTCTTAGGATATTTGATGAATATTCTAACAATTTTCGAATTTATCTCGTAATTTTAACAAAACAAATTTTCCTGCGCGGATTTTGGTGGTTATTGAACTGGTATTTCTGTAACGAATTCGAAACCTTACTCTAACAACTTCTAGTTTCGTTTCTTTCTTACTGGTTGCTGTCGATTGACTTCTCTATTAAATGTAAGTGCAGTGAATGTGATTACTGAGACGTCTACTCACCTTTTTCTCTGATTCTTTCTGTTAGAATATTCATCAAATATCCTAAAGAATTTATTTTGTAAGTCTAATTCTATTGGTCAACATTTAAGGTCGTCCTAAACTATCAAGGTCACATACATTTAAATGTTTTTCTCCTATTGGTTAGTATTACCGGTCGACCTAACTGTACAAAAATGGACTGTCTGTAAAGTTTTACGCTTCTCCTCTTCTTCTTCTGTACAATAACTCATAATTTCTAGGTGCCTGTAGAATACACTTTCCTACGCCATACCAAGACATTTTGATACCGTTATTAGGGGCTTGGGATGCTCGGATTAGAGTAGCCTATCGTGTGAATGGATCATTTGTCTCAGCTCTCGTTTACAGACTAAGTTGAACTCAAAATAGCTCAAGCATATCAAGTGACGAGTATAACACTTTCCTCCTCCAGATAACCCCACACACTGATCCACCGATACCCCCACCACACAAGGTACCTCCTCCTGGCTAAACTCAAACTGACCAAAGGTTGAAGTTACAGTGCAGACAGTCACCTATTGATTTTTTGCACTAGTTCACTGGTAATCATTCATTGTTATTATTATTACTAAACTCACCTCTATTTTGATCTAATAAATATTTATTCACATTTATAGGTAGATCTGCATCGATTGTTTGAGATTTAGATTTACGTTCTCTTAAAACCATGATAGCATCTTCCAGTTCGTCAACAGTAAATCCAGTGATCTATAAGAGAAAAAAATTAAGTTGAAAAAAGACGTAAATGAATTTATGAGTAATTAGATTCCAGTTTTTTTTGTGGTTCAAAAATGAACAGTCTGAATTTTCTGGAGTAGACCTTCTACCAGGTGGCTCGCTGATTGACTTAGAATATGCCGATGACATTGTCCTACTTGGTGAAGACGCTGACAAAATGCAGAGTCTTCTGACTACCCTAAGCAACCATGCAACGTTGTTCGGGTTGCCCTTTTCCCCCTTGAAATGCAAAATGTTGCTTCAAGACTGGGTTGCATCGGCACCTGAACTAGTGATAGGGAGTGAAGTAGTCGAACGTGTAGACCGCTTCACTTATCTTGGGAGTCTCATCAGTGCCGATGGCCTGGTGACTGACGAAATCTCAGCACGGATACAGAAGGCTCGATTGGCTTTTGCCAACCTGCGTCACTTATGGCGTAGGCGAGATATCCGTTTGCTGAATAAAGGACGAGTGTACTGCGCAGTAGTTCGCTCCGTCTTACTTTATGGCTGTGAAACATGGCCAGTGAGAGTAGAACATATTCGTAGGTTACTGGTTTTCGATCATAGGTGTCTTCGAAGCATTGCTCGTATATCCTGGGACACCCGAGTGAGCAACGCTGTTATTAGGAATCGGGTGCTAGGTAAGAATGGCAGATCAATCGACGAAGTATTGAAACTTCACCAGTTGAGGTGGTTGGGACATGTGTTGCGTATGCCCAACCACCGGCTGCCTCGTTGAGCCTTGTTTTGTAGTGTAGGAATAGGTTGGAAGAAAGTTAGAGGCGGCCAAACCAAAACATGACAGAAATCCATGAAGTCATTGACAAGTGGACTGAGCCATGTTGGTAATTGTCGACTACCTGGTTGGGGTCCACGAGATGATAATAATCGATGGTTAGAGACCTTGAATGACATGGCTCAAAATCGTTCGCAATGGCACCGGTGCATTTATTCTCTGTGTTCTCTCAAATGCTAATCTTTTGGATTCTTCAACACCTCTAGTTTCGACTCTCTAAACTTATCTCACTCAATCATACTTCTTAAGTAATATCTTCTAATCCTAACCTCTCCGATTATTTCTAATTCCCTTACTACCTCTTCTACTATTGGATTTGAATTGACGATTACTTCTCTGTGCTGATGTGGTATGGCAACATGAACTGATGTACTTATGTACAAAGTTCTACGTTGCATCTGACTGACTGACTGATGGAATCGTTGATTCGATTTGAGTTAGAAAATATCCTTGTTCTCTTTAAATTTTCCTAGCTGAGTAAGTTACTCATAAAAGAGATCTTCAAATATATCAATGTGCATTGATTCAACTTATTAGACATTTGAACAGTTTGAGCGTGGCGACGGTAAAGAGTTTGTGTGCGCCACTTCAAATATCTTGAGTTGGATTCTTGCTTTGGGTTAGGGTAACACACATTGCCAATGAATCCCATATCAGGACGTAGCGTCTATTCAGTGCTTTCAGATTTCCAATAATGATCAAACATTGTTCGATTCATTATTCCGAAATAAATATATGTTTGCTGCAAAGGGGTAGAAATCCATGAAGTTACTGACAACTGGACTGAGTCATGTTGGTAGGTGTCGACTACATGGTTTTGGTCCGCGAAACGATAGTAATGGCTGGTTAGAGACCTTGAATGACGTGGTTCAAAACTGTTTGCAATGATGTAGGTGCATTCATTCTTTGTGTTCTCTCAAATCCTAATCTTCTGGATTCTTCATCACCTTTATCTTTTTCTCTTTAAGTTTATTTCACTAGATTGTACTTCGTGAATAATATCGTCGAAGCCTAAAATTTTCGATTACTGCTACTAATTCTACAACCTCTACTACTGTGGGATTTGAATTGACAATTACATCTCTATGCTAATGTGTTATGGCAACTTGAAGGGATGTACGTACGTACGTACGTACGAAGTTCTGTGTAGTTGTTGATTAAATGACTAACTATAACTAAGAAGGAGAGTGTGTAAGTTCGTGGACAGGTGTTTGACTGTCTGTAATGAAACAATAATGCGATTTTTCCAAGCTTTCTATGATTATTTTCAACATTCTTAAGCTTACTAAGGGTCAAGTTTTTTCTTTCTAATCCTAACAAACTTAAAATAAACGGTATTGAGATAAATCCCGGTTATTTGTGTCACATCTGAACGAAAATTAACGTAAATGATAACTTATTGGTGCGATGTACTATAGTCTGGTGTCGTAGGTATTTACATAAGGGAATGTAGTAAACACAGTAGCGTTCCTTAAGCTTTAACAAGTGATCATTAGTCTTCGATTGCTTTTCACCTTCATTTGGAGCGAGTTAGTATTGTTCCGTCAATGAAGTAAGTATAGAGTATCATGTTTGTTAGGATATTCATCCAATATCCTAAGAGAATTATTATTGGTCACTTCCTATTGGTTAATTCCTACTGGCCAATTTTATGGACGTCCTAGATATCAATGTCACGTGAACCAATTTTGTTTCTTATTGGTTGTCCTGACTATCAATGTCACTTCAAATGTTGCTTCCTATTGGTCGTCTTAATTGTCAATGTCACAGACTTCGATGCTGTTTCCTATTCGACCAAAATGTGTAAATACACAATATCTGTAATGTTTTATGACCACGACCAGGACCGAAACCCGGATCTCGTTTTCTGACTAAGGTATACTCGTAATAGTTCAAGCTTAGCAAAATCACGTGTTTAGGTGCAGGCGTAACACTAAGCTACACCTGAATGTTGTAAATAACAACTCTTCAATACTCGTATACGCAAAATATAATCTGCTTACATATGAAACAAGTTTATTGATATGCTTGCTCTCTCTATTTCTCTTCTTAAATCTCTCATCCAATAGTAACCACTTAAATATATATAACCATCAATCACCATTAGCAACAGAGGTTTAAAAAAAATGAGTAAATGAATCAATCATATCAATTTAAACAAAACTTCATTCAATTCAAACAATAATTCATTACTTGAGCAAACATTTGAATTGGTGTTGTCATCATTATTGATGATGATTGTTCATTGGAATTTGATTGATTGCCTTGTTTAATTATTGGTACACTTTCTAATTTATTCAATTGTGCATTGTTCAATATAATTTGCTCTTCATCAACACATTGATCATTGTTGAATGACGGTAATAAGTTTCGTTGATGTTCAACTTGTTTTTTGAATAATTGTTGTTGTAAATTATGTACCATCATTTCTAAATGATTAATTTGTCCACGAAGTTTTTGTTCTTTCAATGTGGAATTATGTTGCTGTTGTTGTTGTTCAGGTCCAGCAGATAATGCACTGAAATGAATGAAAGAAGAAATCATGTAGAATAGTGTGGGAATTCGGAGGGGGATCATCATACGATTTTATGCCATCTTGCCAATGACTTTTTTTTATACAACAAAGAAATCAGTATTTGTTACGAAAACACGTCAACTTGATATACTTGAACTATTACGAGTTTACCTAGTTGTCGGAAAACGAGAGCGAGGATCGAGGATCCGGTGACACGATATGCTACTCAAATCCAATTATCCCGACCCACATATTGAGTAAAAGAAGACAAGACATTATATGAAGTAGAACCTGTATTCTACAAACATCCAGAAAGTACGAGGTCCGAATCCAGAAGAGAAACAGGATCCCGGACTAGGGATCCGGGACCGAGTCCTGGTCCTGGTCATAAAACGTTACAGATAATGCGTATTTATACATTTTGGTCGAATAGGAAACAGCATCGAATTCTGTGACATTGACAGTTAAGACGACCAATAGGAAGTAACATTTGAAGTGACATTGATAGTCAGGACAACCAATAAGAAATAACATTGGAGCACGTGACATTGATATCTAGGACGACCATAAAAATTGACCAGTAGGAATTAACCAATAGGAATTGACCAATAATCATTCTCTTAGGATATTGGATGAATGTCCTAACAGTATTGTCTGCTCTGTTTCTGAATTAATTTTCTCTTCCTTATGTTATTTGGTTACAAACAATTGGAAGAATACTTTACTGCCTTGATGTTTTCGGTTCAACAAGATGATCAAAGTACTTTTTTTGATTTATAAAATATGGTGTCCAAAATCTGAACATGATACGTGTTAATCCTCTCAAACTGACGATTTAAACGAGAAAGCAAGAAAGTTTATTTGATTATCGAGTAATTTACGGAAATACTCATTTATATGTTGTATACATTCCTTTCTGTTCAAAGATGAATTCAGTTTTGTTTTAACCAATAATATTTATTCGTCCTTTAGGAGTATCGAATGACCTCATTAGGCCACTTCTGATTGGCTGTCTAGACTAAAGACTATCATACATAATTGTTTGATCACATGATCAATCCATATATTAGACAGAGCCTAGCACAATATCATTGATCTGATTGGTCGGTCATTATGACCTTACATGATTTACAGCAAATCTGCAAATCTGCAAATTTTAGACTACAACCAGACTGCAGTTAACAAGAATACCAGTTAAAAGTTTTTTTCAAAATAAAACGTTGTTAAAGTTATATCCAGTCACGGAAGAGCTAAGGAGTGTCACGAATTTCTTCTGAACACATAAATTGGGGTTGAATGTACGAATTCCTATGGCTTCTGCTAGATATGTAGAAGACAGGATTGAACTCCGTTGAGAAATGATGGAGTTATACGATAGTTCACTCGGAACGATCCAGATTTATTTACAGTATAACGACTATTAAGCAGATGTACCAAGATATAAGTGCGTATTGTTTTTATTTGACCAAAATAATCCGTATTTGGCATCTATAAGAAGCCGATTGTTCGTAAAAATCGAGCCTCAGAAACCACGTTGGTTATGTCAAACTCAGATCAGTTGAATAATATTTCGATAGAAAGTGATCAATTCAATCAAGTTTAGTTAATACATTTGATCAGTGAAGTCATCATTAACACAACAACAATTTATAAATCATCATTGAACATTGAAAATCAATTTAGCGTTCAAAATGTTGGACAGTGAATGTGCAAAACTAACAATTATAACAAATTATGATCAGACAATCTATACATAATAACATAAAGTGCATTTTTATTTGGTTTTTTTATTCAATTTGACTTAGTTTAAGTTGAACATTGAAAATAAAACCGAAAAACACGAGAATTAGACAACATCTATTTGTTACATTTAAAAAAAGTAATTATTTGACAACACATTAAACTTGAAAGACAGGAAAAAAGATGTTTACATATTATCCGATCTAATGTATTATAAAATGAAAGATTTGAGAAGAGAAATAGAAAGAAAGCATATCAATGAACTTGTTTCATATGTAAGCAAATTTTATTTTGTGTATAAGAATATTGAAGAGTTGTAAATTTACACTAGTCAGGTGTAGCTTAGTGTTACGCCTGCACGTAAACACGTGATTTTGCTAAGCTTCAACAATTATGAGTATACCTTAGTCGGAAAAACGAGAGCCCAGGATCGAGGATACGGTGATACGATATGCTACTCAAATCCGAGTCTCCCAACCCCCATATTGAGCGAAAATAAGAAGACTTGATATGAAGTAGAACATGTATTCTACAAGTATCCAGAAAGTACGCGGTCCGAATCCAGAAGAGAATCAGGATCCTGGACCGATTCCTGGCCCTGGTCGTGGTCATAAGACGTTACAGATAATGTGTATTTATACATTTTGGTCGAATAGGAAACAGCATCGAAGTCTGTGACAATGACAGTTAAGACGACCAATAGGAAGCAACATTTGAAGTGACATTCAAATTCAGGACAACCAATAAGAAATAACATTGGAGCAGGTGACATTAATATCTAGGACGACCAAAAAATTGACCAGTAGGAATTAACCAATAGGAGTTGACCAATAATTCTCTTAGGATATTGAATCCTATCTAGTCCTATCTAATTGCTATTCATACTTTTCATGTCTATCTACAATTCTTAATGGAGTGTGTTCATTGGTCGACCTCCTTTCCTGAGGATTCCAAGTTAGAATGAATCAGAATACTGATAAAATTTTAATTTTATTCATAAGATTCGATCAGTACTGACAACTAGACAAACATAACACTGGTTACTATTGAATTATTAGGCGATTCAAATATCACAGCCTTAGATGAGGTAAGCCATGGATCGAATATATATATATATATATATATATATAGACCATGCCTGACACCGGTCTCTAACCCTCATGTTTTCTCTTCCTTATGGTGGTCGACTAGATTATGAAGACTTCAAAACCTGATGGAAAGTACGTGATACAGTGTACATCTCAAATACAGCTGAACGATCTGGACTTCGTAGATGATGCAGCTCTTCTATCCCACACGCGACAACAAATGCAGAAGAAAACGACCAGTGTAGCAGTAGCCTATGCACCTGTAGAACTTTAAATATTCAAATTAAAAAGTAAGATCCTTCAATACAGCACAACATGTAACAACCAAACCACACATGATTGAGGAGCTTTTAAAGATGAAGAAGGCTTTACATACCAGGACAGCATCATTGATAAACAAAATGGATCTGTTGCAGATGTAAAGACACGAACTGGCAAAGCAAGGGCAGCTTTTCTACGACTGAATAACATTTGGAGCTTAAAACAACTGAAAACTAACTCCGAAGTCAGAATTTTCAGTACAAATGTCAAGACAGTTCTACTGTATGGAGCACAAACTTGGAAAACTACGAAAATCATCATCCATAACATACAGAGGTTTGTTTATAAACAGTTGTCTACCCAAGATACTGAGGACCCACTGGCTAGACACTATCCACATAAACCTACTGTGGAAAAGAACAAGCCAGCCAAAAGCGCCGGCAGTGGTCTAGGACACGTATTAAAGAAAGCATTCAACTGCATTACAGAACAGGACCTAATTTAAAATCACTGAAATCAAAGGAAAAGATAGAAACCAAAGGACATATTACGTCGAGTATTAGAGACAGACATTAGAAGAACGAAGAACAATTGGATAGAACTGGAATAGAAGGTTCAGAACGGAGCAGGCTGGAGAATGCTGGTAGGTGACCTATGCTCTGTTCGGGATAACAAGCGTAAGTGATATATATATATATATATATATATATATATATATATATACATTGTAGGTCAACCAAGTACGGGATAAACAGTGACTCTCTTAAGGTATCCAAATGCCTCGTCATCTAATTGACGAACACGTGGCATAAAAGAGTCCTTCTGTGGGTTGTGGTGGCGAATACTTCTTCGTGATCCTGCCAGAAAAGTCCCGTGCTTTACATCATTGCCGTTGAATTTCACCACCGATCGCCATAGATAGCATGCTCCATATCTGGGTTTTGTGCCGTCTTTAATACAAGGAGTGGAAGAATGGAGAAATTATGCACAATATCCTAAATTCGTTAAAATCTTGAGCCCATCAATTCTAGACAACCATTCGAAACCTGGAATCACTTAATGAGACTCATTAGCAGTGCGTATGCAGGGCCATAAAAGCAGAAATCCAACCAAGGACCTACGGTCCCATGCGCGAACGTTTAACCTCTTGACCACTGAGATAGCATTCAACAGTGTTATTATCTAACTTGAATCAACTTGAATCTCCACAATTCTATCTATATTGGCGATGACTTAATTTATATATCTAAACCATTGGAAGACATACAGCTCAGTAGTCTAGATTTAATTCTATCGTACACCAGATGGAATGTCATGAACTCAATTTTCTTGTACTGAGTTTATGGATGATACATAAATGATAAGAAAATCTCATACTAGAATGATGATGATGATGATTCATGATTAGAAACCTGGAAGCACTGCAAGACGGCCGTTTCGTCCTGGTATGGGACTCATCAGCAGTGCGCATCCACGACTCCTCCACCCCGCATGATTCGAACCCAAGACCTTCGGTATTGTGCCCGAACGCCCTCCGAGTTCTAGTGGGAAGTCGTGACCAGTGAAGTTCAAACCTGTTCGGATGTATAGAGGGTATGAGGTTGCGCAACTCCGTGAATGTGATCAAGTAAGACATTAACACCGTTAGATACCGGCTCAGTAATCTAACGGTTAGGGCGTTCGCTCACAATACCGAAGCTCCTGGGTTCGAATCCTGCGGGGTGCAGGAGTCGTGGATGCGCACTGCCACTGATGAGTCCCATACCAGGACGAAACGACCATCCAGTGCTTCTTCTAGGTTTCTAATGATGGTGGTCTAACATTGATCGATTCATGGTTACAAATAAAACTTAACAATCTTCACTACAAACCCGCTATGATTCATGAATTAAATTAGGCAGAAAATTATTCAAAATTTAATGTAATTTACTTTGCTATTAATTTTTCATTGGATTCTTTAAATGCTTGATTTTCACGTTTTGCATCATCCAATGCATATTGAAGCTAAGTAAAACAAACGAACAGACAAACAGTTGAACATTTATCATGATTACTGTTTACATAATGATTTAAAAGAACAATTTTAAATGAATTGACAAAAGTTGATCAGCAGAGAGTGATCCAATTTTGTTAATCATGCAAGAAGATCTTACTAGTAGTCATTGGTAATCATGAAGACAGCGTGTCTTATCTTAATTGGAGTGAGTCATGTGGCTGTGAAACATGATGGTTAAGAGTAGAACATGTTCTTTGGTTACTAGTCTTCAATCATCGATGTCGCCGAAGCATTGCTTTTGTATCATGGGACAATCGTATAAGCAATGATGTCGTTAGGAAACGGGTACTAGGTTGGGATGGCAAATCAATAGATGAAGCATTGAAACTTCATCAGTTGAGGTGGTTGGGACATGTGTTACGTGTGGCTAACCAACGACTACCTCGACGAGCTATGTTTCGCAGTGTAGGAGTAGATTGGAAGAAAGCTAGGGGCGGCCAAACCAAAACATGGCACAAATCCATGAAGTCATTGACAAGTGGATTAGCCATATTGCTAGTTGTCGACTACCTGGTTGGGGTCCGCGAGATGATAATAATCGATGGTTAGGGACCCTGAATGACGTGGCTCAAAATCGTTTGCGATGGCGCAGGTGCATCCAATCTTTATGTTTTCTCTAATTCTAACCTTCGGAATTCCTCATCATCTCTATCTTTCTCTTTCTAAATTTATCTCACTGAATTATACTTTTCGAATCGTATCTTCGCTGCCTAATCTTCTCCATTGATGCTAATACTTCTACTGTTGTTATCACTCTTGGATTTGAACTGACAGTTGCATCTCTGTGCTAAGGTGGTATGGCAACCTGAACTGATGTACTTACGTAGGAAGTTCTGCGTTGTATCTGTCTGCCTGGCTTATCTTAACTCTTCAAGTGATTTTGATTTGTTTTATCTAAGTTGGTTGTCACTGATTTGTGTTGGTTAATTTTCTGCTCTTCAAAATCATACTTTCACTAATATTTATATTGATTTGTAATATTTAATGTCATTGTTAGGATGTTCATCAAATATCCTCAGAGAATTATTTTTGTAAGTTTAATTCTATTGGTCAATATTATGGTCGTCCTAGCTATCAATGTCACGTACCTCAATGTTGTTTCCTATTCTACCTAAATGTATAAATACGCATTATCTGTAATGTTTTGTGACCCAGGTCGGGATCCTTTGTCGGAGATATCAATTCTCTTCTGGATTCGGATCTCATACTTTCTGGATGTTTGTAGAATACATGTTCTACTTTATATCATGTCTTCTTCTTTTTCTAAATGGGGGTTTATGATGTTTGGATTAGAGTAGCCTGTTGTGTCATCGGATCCTCGCTCTCGTTTTCCGACTAAGGTAAACTTGTAATATTTCAAGCATATCAGTTGATGTGTTTATGTGCATGCGTAACAGTCATCTTGGTTTAATCTCAAGTTTTGTGCCAGCTAAAAATATCGAGTATAAAATAAAACTATTCATGATTGGAATCGCCTCATCATTCTTCTTTAATTTATAAGTATCGCAACCTGGTTGGGAATTTTATTACGTCATTGTATTTGACGGCTATAACAACAATCACATTTTTACGAGATAGTTTATTTTGGTTAAACTTTGTGATTAGAATTGGTGCATTCATGTATTTAACAATTAAGTTTCTTAATTTATATTGTAAATTCTATTGGACAGTTTTATGCTAGTATTGGACCAATCAATGTAAATCTAACAAATAATTTTTTTCACTATGTTCTGATTGGCTGAAATTGTGTATAAATAGTTGTGTTTTTATAGTAAATATTATCATTCTTAGTAGTCTCAGGTAAATTCCTGTTTTTTCTGGTTTCATGATTCAATTTAATAGAAGTTCTGTTTACTTGGTGTATTTATAGTCAGTTTGATATGCAGAGATTACTGTCATTATGATTGTATCAACGTGTACATTGATGTTAGTTGATAACTCATTGGACAGAAATATACCGTGTTAGTACACCGATAGTTATAACCACAGAAATAAATATATGTCAAAAGGAATTTCAAATCATCACGCAAAAACAAACTATTTTATCTTAAATTTCGAAAGAAATTCATACATCTGACACAAGTTCATTGTTCAAGGTTTTTCAGACCGTGTTCATAATATTTGAATGATATTGAAGTCATGCATCGATAAATTTTAGACCATCATTAGAAAGCTGGAAGTACTGTGAGGCCGTCTCATCAGGAGTGCTCACCCATAACCCTGTAAGAAGGAATCCAACTGGAGACATTTGGTCTTGCACTCGAACGTTTGACCTCTTGACCAACGATGTTATCATCTGACTACAATCAATCTGTTGGCAACAGTTTCTCACTAAAACTCCCAAAATCCTGTCATGAAGCTAGTCACTAGTGAGTATATGATAACTGTCTTTGTACGGTTGTGGAGATTGTTGAGTTTCAATAGAATAACCTTTAGACCAGTGAGCTAACATCTAGTGGTTTCACTATCTGACTACAATCAATCTAGAGGTTAGGCATTCATTAGTGAGACGGAGTTCGATTTCCAAGAGTGAGGTCATGGATGCAAACTGATGACGAACTTCATACTCACTCAAATGCTTCCATGTTCTTAATAAAGACCTAACATTTATTGGTTCATGATTTCAGTGTGGCTCACCCGACTGAAGCTGCTGCCTTGACGTGGTGGTTAGCTTGCCTATCGTGATGACACAACCAAGCTATACTGGCTGGAACATATGTTCCTGAAGGTTCTACTATGCCAGGCAGGTCGATTGGAGAACGATGAGACTAAATACAGCTACTCAAGGTCTGAGGGCGAAGTCGTACTACTGACTGACTGCAGAGGGGTGTGACAGCAGTAAGGTGCTTTCCTCGGACAACCAGCATTTGCAGCGATGCTGCCTTCTCACAGGGAAGGAAGGGTTAGAAAAGGTCACACCTCACCCTACCTCACGGATTTCCGTCTCCGTTGGTAAGGGCTTCCCACTAAGGGCTTTTAAGAGCGGAGCTAATACTCTGAAAACCTATCATAAAAAAGGTTGTGGGTGACCGGCCTCATGAAGTTGTCCCTCGGACTCTGCGACCATGCATCTAGGTCATTTAATAGCAACACTAATCTATCTTCCTTTTTAGGTTCCTCAAGAAACAACCTTCCACGGTGTGGACAGCCAGGAAGTGACCCCCCCCCCAAATACTCGTAACAGCACACGAGACCAAATTGATCACAATCAAGTGAATGTGAGTCAACAATCTACACAATCTTATATTATAATAACAGATTTGATTCAAACATTTTCATCATGGTTGAATGAAGTTACATTTACTCTTTATTTCAAAAACAGTAGAGATCGATGAAATAATCATTTCTAGAACAAATAATCCTACAATATTAATAATAATAATAATAATAATAATAATTACTTCTAAAATTTTCAACTGTTGTTTCGACGCTACATTACTATCCGATTCCAAACGGAATAATTTTTGTTCTAATTGACTAGATTCACGTGTTAAACGTTCAATTTCCGAAACTAATTGACGATTGGTTGATTTTGTGATGTCATAATTTGATTCAGCTTCTCGAACACGTGCTTCTAAATTTGTGATTTTTAATTGTTTCTCACGTAATTCTCTTTGTGTACGAATTAAATCGATATTTTCTTGGACAGCAATTCTAAAATGTATTCAATTTAAAACGAAAAAGGGAAAGTAGAGAGGGAATAGAAAAGTTTCGGGTTGAATTTGAAGCAGTCATGTGGATATGATAGTTTGATTTATTGATTGTACTAATCAAAACTTAATCGCCGTTGGACTTAAATTAAGAACTAAGGTAAAATGAACAACAGTTTTACGTTCGTATTTGAAATCCTGTAACGTTACACAACTAGGATCATCTCATTAGGCAACGAATCAAAGACCGTCAATTGTTGAGGAGAATGCTTAAGGATTGATTGAAACCACTGAGTTGATATCCGCGGGCTCACAATTTCACTGATCACTCAGTTCTGTTGGTACATCTTTGTACCAACATACGTGCTCGATGGTAAAGAGTACCACTTTAAAACAGAACAATTGATCAGTGTACCCTTATTTCAGATAGAGTAGCCCAGGACAGATCAAGGTGTGATAGAAATAGATTCAAAGTTTGTTATGATTGAAACCTTTAAACACAATCAGTCGACTTGATCAATTATCAATGACTGTTAAATATGTCAATTGTAGAAATGATGAAAGCAGTCAAGTATGATGTATTTTTTGTTCCCCAATTGTTATCAGAAATGTTATTTGCAGATTGTATAAGCTAGCATTTTGCGAATTACCCTTGGAAGTAAGTACAAACCTTTGAGTTCTCGAGGACAAATCGAACAGAACCACTAACTGGAAATCCCGACGCCGTACATTGACAAAGCAGCTCAAGAACTTAATGAATTCACTGGACGAATCAACGAACCAGACTCGATATACAACACAGACAACGCACTCTCTCATCGGACGAAAGCAGCAAAGCCACTTCGGTGGTCATATGCACATACAAAACTCGTATTATCTTATTATCATTTCGATTGCGTATCAACTCGTTGCATGAATCTATTTCTCGAATTATCCAATTATCGTATTAACCTGAAAGAACTATTCATTCTCTCCATTCGCCCATTCGTTCGCATTGTTATCCAAGGAGTTAGCTCATTAGCCTTCTCCAACGCATTTCGTCTGTTCATTCGCTTCCTTCGCCCATTCGTTCGCATTGTAATCTTGGAGTTGGCTCATTAACCTTCTCCAACGCGCTTCTCCAATTCACGTCGCTTCATTCGTTTTATTCACTGCTTCTCCTCTTCGCTTTGTGGTGTGTCCCAAATAAACGTATTTATCACTGCGAGTTCACCTTCTGATATACAACCGTCAGGCGCTACTTTGTAACGATTGTCTAGACGAGCTAATTACCGAGCTTTAGAAAACGCAGTAAATCGTCACACTACAGAGTAACTAAATATACAAAAACGACGAAAGTACTGCTACTCTTTGTTCAAAGACAACCCAGAGTAACTAGCTTCAACCGAAGGCGAAGAACAGTCGAAGATCACAGTGATCGCAACTACAAGATCAAGGATCGTTATTATATTTCAAATAATCCTTTATATATACATACAAAACTAGGACTACATCACATCAATGAATAGACAATTACATCCATACATAAATGAGCCAAAAGTGGTTGTGAATAGAGGGAACTATCATCAGTACAGGAATAGTAAACTGTATGATCATAGCATTGTGGATTCATGGAAACCTTATGATATGATGCAAAGTTGATATAATCTAGTTACATCTTCATTCGCGTTTAATAAATGGTTCAGCTGTTAAATCAGTCAACTCTTATTTAGTAGATCACAGTTTCAAACAATGCTACTCCAACTGTCAGTTTGGCCCTAAGGTATAAAATGAACACTGTGACATTAGTTGCCTTTGATGAATCCATGAGAATGGATGGATTTTTGGTGCATATAGATAGACTATTCCCTGTTTGGAATATACTGTGTTTATTGATTATTCTTACGTCCTCATCTAACAGATGTGATATGCTCGTCAATTTTTATGCTTGAATGCTATTACGAGTTCACTTCACTTGGTAAACGGAACGAAGTTCAATGATACCGTGACACGATAGGCAACGCTAATCCGATTGTCCCAGGCCCTGCTAACTAGATCAAAAAGTCTTGATAAGGCGTAGAAAACGTATTCTACAGGCACACGGAAAAGCACGAGGTTGCTAAGCCCACAAGTCAAGCCTATCTATACAATGATATAAACACCATTGGGATAGCTAGAAAATAGTATCGTACTAAAATAATCCGTCAACCAATGACAGTCAAGGTCAACTTAGTGCCTCTGGCGCGAAAACAAAAAAATTCAAAATTTCTCAATAAAATTACAAAATAAGAATTTTTTCCAAATGATTCCTGGAGATATAACATCCCCAACGGGATACTAGGTAATCTTTCTTCAAATTTTCAATCAGTTTTAATTTGTTTGTAACTTATCCTTAATCAAATTAAATACCCTGTCAATGACAGTCAAATGTCATATACCTTATTAATATGAGAATAAGAAGTTTGAAACATGAACAAAGTTGAACTCTATTTCAAATATTTAATTTTATAAAACGTTCTCTGTATGCTTCATTTTTAACGACAACTATATGATTTTTTTTTAGAACGGAGGTATTTCAATAAGTTTTCATTCATGGTATAATACCATAAAACGATCAAATTCACTGGATCAGTCAGTCAGTCAGTTGCAACGTAGAACTTCGCACGTATGTACATAAGTTCATGTTGCCAAACCACATTAACACAGAGATGTAATTGTCGATTCAAATCTCATAGTGATAAAGATAGTAGAGGTAATAATGGTAATGAAGAAGACCAGGGTAGTTTGAAGATATTATTCAAGAAGTATAATTCAGTGAGATAAAGTTAGAAAGTCAAAACTAGAGGCGTTGACGAATCCAGAAGATTAGGATTTGAGAGAGCTCAAAGAGTGGATGCACCTGCGCCATTGCAAACGATTTTGAGCCATGTCGTTCAAGGTCTCTAACCATTGGTGACTTTCGTCCCGCGGACCCCACCCACATAGTCTACATCTACCAATATGACTAAGTTCACTTGTCAGTGACTTCATAGATTTGTACCATGTTTTGGTCTGGCCGCCCCTAACTTTCTTCCAATCTACTCCCAGACCACAAAACACAATCTAATAATCTCTTTGTTAATAACTAGGTGCAAGAAATCTTCAAAATCACCCAATAAGCAGTTATGACCAGTGGAATTGAATCATGTAAGGTATGATTCAAAATAACTGACTTATAATCTTAGTAGAATATTTTTCTCTTAAAACGTTGGGGACGTTAGATCCCCAGAACTGACTTGATAAAAGTTCTAATTTTGGATCCTTCCGTGTTTTCGAGCATGGGCTAATCATTTGGCCTTCAGATTAAATTTTCCACCCGCAAAATCGTTGACTGTTATTGGTTGATGTATTGTTTTAGTAAGCTATTATTGTGGCTCGCCCAAGGACGTTTCTATCTTGTATAAATAAACTCGATTTGTGTACTTGTGAACCTCAGATTTTCTGGATGCTTGTAGAATACACTGTCTACGCCATATGAAAACTTCTTCCTCTACTTAGTGGGGCCTCAGGACGCTCAGATAAGAGTAGCCTATCATATCAATGGATCACTTTTTCTTCTCACTCATTTACCGACTAAGGTGAACTCGTAATGTGGTGCGCGCTACTTATAAGTAGTATATGACGCGAGTGTAAACGTAATGTCTGGCAGCAGCAGAAGATGGGGGGAAGATCAACAAGAAAGGAAGAGTGGGAACACAATGGAATTTGTATGAAACGAATGAATAGTGAGTGAAATGTCAGACAATGGATTGAAGATTTGCAAACTAACAACCGTTTACGATATGGTTTTCCTATTTTACTGAGTAACTCTGTAATTTTCGTTAAATACAATCCGGTTGCCCTCACCTGTGTCCTCCTTCACTGCAGTAATAGCATTCAAGCAAATCAACTAAGTGACGAGTATTAACACTAAATAAAACATACAACTCACCTTTGTTTTGATGTGACTTGTTCACCCAGTGTAAATAAATCATTCGTGTGCATTTTCTCTTTGATTTCCAAGTCTTGTTTTAATTGACCAATTAATTCATCACGTTCTTTTAATTGTTCCGATAATTTTTGTACAGTTTTTTCACTGAATATTAATTTAAACAAAACAAAATATGGCGAACAATATATAAACGAATATAAACAAATATAAAAAATCATGAAAGTTAAGAGTTTGTTTATATTAACAACAGAATTTCAATTAGATAACTATTGAAAATTCAATAAGACTGAGTGATTTAAAGTTTAAAACCTGGAGTTGAAAGATTTACAATACCGAGATGGACAATTTCATGTAGTAGATTATCGGATGTAACTCACTAGTTACCACTTGCTTAACCCAGTGTATGTTTGTAGTGTGCCGATTTACTGCGTGTTCTTAAGCTCGGTAATTAGCTCGTCTAGACAATCGTTACAAAGTAGCTAGCGTCTGACGGTTTTTATAAATCAGAACGTGAACTCGTAGTGTTGAATACGTTTATTTGGGGCACATCACAAAGCGAAGCGGAGAAGCAGCGAATAAAACGAATGAAGCGACGTGAATTGGAGAAGGCTGTTGAGTCAACTCCCTGGATTACAATGAGAACGAGTGGGCAAAGGAAGCGGATGAACAGGCGAAGAACGATGAATAAGGCTAATGAGCCAACTCAAAGAGATAGAACATGACTAAGAATATATAGTCAGACAAAAATTAGACAGACATGCGACGAGCGAAATAGACATGCACACACATGAATAAAAGTGACGAATGATTGACAAGGTCAAATGACAAGTGGTGAGACACGTCATGTGAGCTCATCATACAAACCAAACAATAATAAGAGCGAATGGTACATACAGATTGTTGCTCCCAATACAAATGACTTGGTTAAATAAATTAATCGAAGGGGCTTAACGAAATTACATGTAAGCGAACTGGAATATATGTGGAGGCACTACATGTTAATAAACTCTTTTCAAATATATATTCTGAAAATGATTCGTTTTGTTATTGAGGGCCAGTTGTTTGATGGTAGATGGTGTTAGATTAAGAAACTTTATTGTCATATTGACTGAACCATGTCGGTAGCTGTAGACTACCTGGTTGGAGTCCGTGAGACAACAGTGACCGATGGTTAGTGACTTAGTCAATCAGTAATAGCAACGTAGAGCTTCGTACGGACTGTGAATGACAGGACTCAAAATCGTTTGCAATGGCGTAAGTGCATCCACTCTTTGTGTTCTCTCAAATTCTAACCTTCTGAATTCCTCGTCATCTCTATTTTTCTCTATCTAAATTTATCTCACTGAATTATACTTGTTGAATAATTTCTTCGAACCCTATTACCGCTAATACTTCTACTTTCGCTATCACTCTTGGATTTGAACTGACAATTGCGTCACTGTGCTATTGTGGTATGGCAACCTGAACTGATGAACTTACGTAAGAAGTTATACGTTGGCGCTGACTGGCTTATTATCATATGGGATCATATCATCAGAGGTTATTTTGATTTAAAAGTAAACTATTTTTAGTTATTTCGGAAGCTTTATTCAAAGAATTCACTTTGATCTCAGCTGTCTTTCTACTCAATTTGATTAACTGGTTTCGTATAGTTTCATAGATCGGATCCAAGTTGATACATCTACTGATCCGAATATCATAGTCTTTTCTAGCATTTAGATTAATTTGGTAGTCAGTAGATACATCAACATAGATCTCGTTTATAAGGCCATCTATAAACGTTATGCAATCCAATGTTCAGAAGTGAACAAAACAAGACAATTAATCTGAGTTAAAAGAGACATGATTGTGTTAGGATATTCATTCAATATCTTAAGAGAATTATTGGTCAATTCCTATTGGTTAATTCCTACTGGTCAATTTTATGGTCGTCCTAGTAGATATCAATGTCACGTGCTCCAATATTGTTTCTTATTGGTTGTCCTGACTACCAATGTCACATCAAATATTGTTTCCTATTGGTCGTCTAAACTGTCAATGTCACAGACTTCGATGATGTTTCCTATTCGACCAAAATGAATAAATACGCATAATCTGTAAAGTTTTATGACCCGGATCCCTAGTCCGGGATCCTGGTTCTCTTGTGGACTCGGACCTCGTACTTTCTGGACGTTGGTAGAATACAGGTTCTACTTCATATCAAGTCTTCTTCTTTTTACTCAATGGGGGCTAGGACACACGGATCAACGTAGCATGTCGTGTCGCCGGATGCCCGATCCTCGCTCGCGTTTCCCGACCAAGGTAAACTCATAATAGTTCAAGCACATCAAAATGATATGTTTACGTGCATGCTTAATAGATTGAAACCTTAGTCAAAAGAATCGATTAAAAGCTTTTGGAATAAATCAAAATGTTTTACTTCGACATCGAAATAAACTTTGAAAATGTTATCCAGTATGATAGTGAGCATAAAACACTGAAATCATATCTCATTAGAAAAACTTGACAACTACAAAAACAATTATTGTAGATTTATTTGCGTACTTATAAGTTTTGAGATGGTGGAGAAAATGTATAGCTCCGGTGGATGATTGTGGTGTGAGCCGGATGTTTTGGCTGTGCAGCTTTCATTGTTCTTCATCAGCAAAAACTTCACTTCATCTACCTGAATTTTGAACTGGTGATCATGTTGTTTATAAGAAAAACAATGAAAACTCCACAACCAAAACATCCATAACTCAGAGAATGAAACCCAATCACAATTTGTAAGTTTGAATCTACACTACACCACTCATTTAAAACATTCATCGTCATCTTTGATGCATAGATTTTATCAATAAAATATAGAATGATCACGTTAAATGCAGCAACTGAATCTCATATAGGAAAGATGATATGATTACACCAATCAATATTCTAACTCTTCAAGATCTTGAAGAATAGTTTGAACTAATGAATGTGGAAAGATGGAACAAGTTTATTATACACCAATTGTGATCTGTTAGTTAGGGGCGGCCAAAACAAAACATGGCAGAAATCCATGAAGTCATTGACTAGTGGACTTAGTCATGTCGATAATTGTCGACTACCTGGTTGGGGTCCGCGAGATGATAATAATCGATGGTTAGAGACCTTGAATGACATGGCTCAAAATCGTTCGCAATGGCGCCGGTGCATTTATTCTTTGTGTTCTCTCAAATCCTAATCTTCTAGGTTCTTCAACACCTCTAGTTTTGACTTTCTAAACTTTTCTCATTGAATCATACTTCTTGAATAATATCTTCTAATCCTAACCTCTCCGATTACTTCTAATATCTTTACTACTTCTACTACTACTATTGGATTTGAATTGACAATTATATCTCTGTGCTGATGTGGTATGGCGACATGAACTGATGTACTTACGTACGAAGTTCTACGTTGCATCTGACTGACTGACTGACTGAATTGTGATCTGACAAGAGTCTAGAATATTTCATTGATGATATTAATAATAATAACTGTTTGAAAAAGACAATATTTAAAATTTTTTTAATTTTGATAGCTTACTACACTTACAAAGCGGAATTTTGAAAACGTAACATTTGTATAACATTGGCAGCATTATTGACAGGTTTTTCACCGGCAGTCGAATGACGACTTGTTGAATGAAATGTTGCAGAACTAGCTTTTCTAGCGGAATTTGGCTAATAAAAAAAGGCAACCAGAAAAGAAAATACATATTAGTATTAATATTAATATATCCTAAAGAAATTATTTTGTAAGTCTAATTCTACTGGTCAATTGCTATTTATCAACATTTAAGGTCGTCCTAAACTATCAAGGTCATATACTTTTAAATGTTCTTTCCTATTGGATAGTATTCTCGATAGACCTAACTGTACAAAATATGCATTTTCTGTAAAGTTCTATGCTCTTCTTCTTTAGTACAAAACCTCATATTTTCTAGGTGCTTGTAGAATACACACTTTCTACGCCATATCAAGACATTTTGATACCGTTAGCTGGGGCTTGGGATGCTCGGATTCGAGTAGCCTACCGTGTCAATGGATGAATTGTCTTAGCGCTCTCGTTTACCAACTAAGGTGAACTCGTGATAGTTTCAAGCATATCAATCGACAAGCGCAACAATGATAAGGAACGGGAAAAAGAAATTACAAGTGAAAATCAAAAATCTTCATATCTGCAAACTGGAAAATCATTTTTAAAAATGTGCTAACTAGTGATTAGATTCGTGAGGCAATTCTTGAAATTCTAGTGAAAACCTATGACCATTGGAGTTCAACCATGTGAGGCAGTTAATCACCAAAGACATTGGGTGAGGTTACGCATAGACTTTGGATTGATTAAAGTTAGACATTAACAATGTTGGATGCCAGCTCAATAGTGTACAGGTTAAGCTTTCACGCGCGAGTTCGAAAGTCCTGGGTTTGATTCTCGCTATGGGAGAGTCATGCATGCACACTGCTGATGAGTCCTATGCTAGGATGAAACGGTCTTCGTATCACTGGGCCTAGATTATTTAATCCCTTTTGCAAGTGACAGAAATCTATTCAGTAGAACAACCAGTCAGAAATCAATATTACATGTCGACATTATGAATGAATCACTGTTAGCCCGATAATAGAAACCTGGAAGTACTGAATGTCCACTTCGTCCTAGTATGGGACTCACCAACAGTGCGCATACACGATCCCCGCTAGCGGTAAATTGAAGAAGGGACATTTGGTTTCTCGTGCAAATACCCAATCTCTACACCACAGCCGGCATCCAGCGGTGTTAATGTCTAACTTTGGTCAATCTAGGGTTTTGCGTAATCTCACCCGTTGTCTTCGTTAGGTAACTGATTACACCCGATAGCGGTGAACTCCCCCTTAGTCACGGGTTCTCACTAGAACTCCAATAATTCCCACACGAAGCAAGTCACTAGTGAGCACATTTTTTTCATTATAGGGTTTATCCTATACAGTTTCTCCTATTCATTGGTCGTTCTGTAATGGCGCGAGTCACAGTTGACTATGATCATCACTACAGGCCAATTACAGACCATTTACCAGGTTAAATCCCTACGTAGAACAAAGATTAGAAGGAGGGCTGGAGATTGTAATTAGTATATATTTGTTGGCGATCTCGTGTTTTCGAATTTATACCGGGATCGTGCCCAAAGTGTACAGGTGAGACTAGCGTGAGTCACAAACAACGGAAACTGGGTGGTTTTTAGTACAAATAAACAGAAATGTACAGTAAAACAACCACTGGTACAATTGACTATAATAATAAATGTTTCTATTATGTCAAGCGCGTTCTCTTCATAAAAGTCGATCACTACACTTCTAACTTGTTCATGTAAAACTGTAATTATTTTTTAATTCTATAGTGTACTATAATCTGGTTTACTTTTGCATAAACTGGTGCGATGGTTAGGCGTTCGCGCACAAGACCGAAGGTCCCTGGTTCGAATGACTGCGAGGTGCAGGAGTCGTGGATGCGCACTGCTTGTGAGTCCCATACCAGGACGAAACGGCCGTCTTTCAGTGCTTCCATGTTTCTAATGATGGTCTAACAATGATTGATTGACGATTTCAAATGTGTAAAAACACAAATCTGCAAAACTCTGCCCCGAAAATATAAACTGTCTGTTTGAAATATATGAGTGTAGACTGGTAACGGGCTACTTAACTGTTAAAAAAAAAGCTATAAAATTGATGAACCAATAAGAATGTAGCGTTAATTCAAGGTTGTTGAAATAAAAGAAAATGTAATTCTGATTGGTGTTTCACTTTTGTCACGTGATATTGGTCAATGGTCAAGCATATAACAGTGTGTACGAATAGATTGCACAATAAAGCAATCTGATGATAACGCTGAATATTTGAAGTTCAGTCTATAATCCCAACATCGATGAGTTCATATTGAGGAGTTTAAAAAAGTTTTATTCTGATGCAACTTTCGAATAAATAAATAATTAAATAAACATACTACTGACAAAGTTAATTTATCATTTTGAGAAATCCCACAATAGAATGAAACTTATTTACAGCTTTATTGCAGCATAAACACGATATTAGAATAAAAATGGTTAACGTATTAATAAAACAAACAGTAATTGACTAAAATTGAAATGATTGATTAATGAACACTTACTAAACAACCAATTCTTTGTTTTTGAACATTTAATTGATTTTGTACTAAAGTTAACTGGAAAAAAGAGCAGAGGAAACTTTAGGTTATTATTGTGAAGTGATGGATGAATTGAAATCATATTTTTCACCAGAAAATCATTCAAGTAGGATTCCTTATCATGAGGTCTATAGCATTACCTTAAACAAAACGAGGCTCTTGAGAAGCAGTTCGGTGGTACCGAGCAAAGTGGTGTGGGGCTGTTGGTCTGATTTGATCTCAGTACATGCTAACCCCTTAAAAACTGACTATTTAAGTGATAAGACAACACTGGAATAGAAAATCTATGTAGCTAGTGAATAATATGAGTAAATATACGTCTTTTTCCTGACCAATGGTATGCATTTGTTCTTTAGGACATTTCTGATGACCTTCTTAATACACTTCTTCTAATTAGTTCCCTATATCACACAAAGTACTAGATCATTCGGACATATTTAAACTTGATCGATGAAACTCGTTTAGAATTGAATGCTAGGCAATATCAGTGAATGTTATCATTTCTATCTTAATGTAAGCCAATTATAGCACACAAATCTTAATGGTAGTTACATCTATATGAATACGACACAGAGAGTAATCTTTGCATCAAAATGTTGATGACATTCAAACCTACCTAACACTAGGCATTCTTGTTACGAAAACACGTGAACACGTAAATTGATATGCTTAAAACTATTACAAGTCACTTTGGTCGGTAAAACAAAGCGAGGATCGATGATATGGCGACAGGACATGCTACCCTAATCCGACTGTCCCAAACCTCCATTAAATAGAAGAAGAAGAAGACTCGATATGAAGTAGAACATGTATTCTACAAGCGTCCAGAAAGTACTAGGTTCGAGTCCAGAAGAGAATCAGAATCCTGGACTAGGGATCCGGGTCCGGGTCATAAAACGTTGCAGATAATGCGTATTTATACAGTTAGATCGAATGAGAAACAACATTTGAAGTGATATTCATAGTCAGGACGAAGAGTAGGAATTAACCAACAGGAATTGACCAATAGAATTAGACTTATAAATAATTCTCTTAGGATATTGAATGAATAGCCTAACAATTTTAAAACCTGAAAATTACCACATTGTTTTTCAGTGTTCATTAATTGTGACTTACTAAAAACACTTTTGATAATTTAGTCTCTACATTTAGTGGCATATGGTGTGATATTAGTTTAAGTTTTATCCAAGGTTTCATTCTATGTGTCAGGAGTTATTCTCGACCAAGTAATATTGAAGGTGTTTATTAAGAGTGTTTCACAACATGACGAATAAAAAACACATTTGTAAAGTATAATTTTAAAGTTGAACTTATACTTTGAAAATGGAAACAACACTCTAATATGAAACTTTCAAGCACTGAGTGCATGGAAAAAAATGCCGGAAACTGTTTGTTATAAAACACAGTAAAGATTTGTTCTGACTACATTAACATTGGAAATGACGTTAATTATTGTTTCTCAGTTAGTATATTTTTCCTACATAGAGATTAGATGTTGGCGCACAAGATCGAAGGTCCTGCGTTCGAATCCTGCTAGTTACGGGAGTTGTGGATGTGCACTGACGATGAGTGCCATACCAGGACAAAACGACCGTCCAGTGCTTCTTCCAGGTTTCTTCTAACGGTGGTCTAACATCGATCGGTACATGATTTCAGAAAATAATCCTAACAAATGAGTCATTTTTATTTTTGTAAAAAATCTAAAGCATTATATGGCGTACTTTTCTTGTTAATGCTGCATTTTTTCGCTCCAACACTTCAATCTGTTCTTGATAATCTTCTTTCCATACACCACCAGGATCAGATTCTTTCCTGTCACCAGCTAAACGTAGAATTTTAGTGGCCATTCTGTTGTTTACGTATTCGATATAAAAATTTAATTTTGCTTACTTTTTAATACGTTCCTCTTGTTTACATGCATGTTTTTTCAATGTTAAATAATCATCGTACAATCGTAAATATTGATCTTCTAATTTTTCTTTAGACCATGAACTAATGGCGCCTTTTTCCATTTGATAAATGTTTACCGCTCTATTTGATCTGATTACAGGTTCAGAAATCTAAGAAAATTTATAAAGAATTATTAAGCAAACAAAATAAGAACTGATTTAATCACGAAGACAGTCAACATCATTCGGAATTTTTGTGATGAATTAAACTGCGAAATCGTGCACTGAGGACAACCGACAGACACTTTCGAGGTGAAGGCCAGTGTCAGGCAAGGTTGCTTACTCTCACCCTTTCTCTTTCTCCTGGTGATCGACTAGGTTATAAGAACGTCAAGATCTGAACAGAAGCACGGTATACAGTCGACAGATAGGATGCAGCTAGACGATCTAGACTTCGCAGATGATCTGGCTCTTCGAACGCACGCGTAACAACGAATTCAAGAGAAGAAGACCAGTGTGGCAGCAGCCTCAGCAGCAGTAGGTCTCAACATACATAAAATAAGACGCAATATCCATCGATACAACACAATAAGCAGTAACAAAATCAGAATTCATGGAGAAGCTTTTGAAGATATAGTAACCATCAAATATCTGGGCAACATCATTGACGAGCAAGATGGATTTGATACAGATGTGAGGGAACGGATTGAGAAAGAAACGGCTGCATTTCTACAATTGAACAACATCTGGAACTCGAAACTCAACAAAAACCAAAGTCAGAACTTTTAAGTGCAAATGTCAAGACAGTTCTGTATGGAAAAGAAACCTGGAGAACTACGAAAGCCACCATCCAGAAGATACAAGTATTCATTGACAGCTGTCTACGCAAAATACTTCGGATTCGCCAACCAGATGCTATTGGCAACAGCCTACCGTTGGAAGAACAAACCAGATTCCAGTGGAGAAGGAAATCATGAAGAAGCACTGGATGTGTATAGGACATACATTGAGGAAAGCACCAAAATACGTCACACAACAAGCCCTCACTTGGAACGCTCAAGGTTAGAAGGAAAGGTGGAAGGCCGAGAAATGGAGACAGATATAAGAAGAATGATGAGAAGCTGGAAAGAAGTATAAAGAGAGTCCCAGCACTATAGATCAGTCATATACCGAGATAAAATAACAATTTACGTAGTATTAAAGTTGACTAGTTTTTCATTTTCAATAAATTGTGATTCTATCATTTTATTTTGGTTAGACAGTCAATAATTATCAATATGATGCCTGCCCTCAAAAGATGTACGTTGGCTCACGTTTTTATACCACATTAATACAACTAGATCGGATTTATGAACTGAATAGTAAGACAGTAAAATAATGTAGTAGCATTGACATTTGAAAAAACTAAGCCTCGATAAAATACGTCGAAGGGAAACTAAAATTACAGATTGACAGACAGATCAAAGTTGATTGCATCAGCGACACTGAATAGTTTTGAGCTATATCACCTAATGTATCCGAAAATCGATCTCTGTTATCTTGTGGAACCCGTTCAGGTCACCTGTATCCGCTTATGAGAATCAAGCCAACAGACAATGACTAAATGAACTATTTCCGTGTTTTGATTTGGTCTCTAGTATCTTTCTTCCGATAAACCCCTATACTAACTATACTCACTCATGTAGGTAAGTCGAAGTTAGTTGTTATACGTAAAATATTTAATAATCACTTCACAATTTCAATAAAGATTGATAGCTTTATCAGCCGATTTGCGACTAAAACCCCCATGCCTAGCGCCAACAACTGTCCACTCGATAGTTGCACAAAACACTAAAAGTGCCTTAAAGAAACCTAGGATCAAATACGTCTAGCCTATGTACATCTTATTTCAAGTCTTTGTATCACACCCATGGAGTTGTACCCATGAAACTTCTACGTACTTGCCATTGCCAACGTGCGCCACCTAGGGAACGGGATAGATACCGGTCTGCTAAACAAGGGACGAGTCTACTAGGAGTCACTACGTATGTCGAACCACTGCCTTGATGAGCGATGTTTTTTGACGTTTTAGAAGGTCAGAAGCTAGGGGCAGCCAAAGCAAAAAATGGCACAAATCAATGAAGTTACTGACAACTAGATGGAGTCATTTTGGTAAGAATAGACTACAAGGTTGGGTTCCTCCAGATGCTAGTAATCGATGGCTAAAGACCTTGAACAACATGGCTCAAAATCATATGCGATGGCGCAGGTGCATATATTCTACGTGCCCCCTCTAAAATCCTAACCTTCTGAATTCATCATCATTTTCATCTTTCTCCTTTTAAATTTACTTCACTGGATTATACTTTTCCAATTATTAGCTTCAAACACTCATCTTTCCATCAGCTTAGTTCGTCTCTTTTAGTTTTCAAGTCAGTTATTTTCGTTATCAGTATCTTGGGGATATCACTAGTTCTGATAAGTTGGTGGCCTGGCAGAATTTAACCAAGGATTCAGCAAGTTTAGTTGTCAGTTAACAGCATACATCTGCTATAGTGTGAATGTAATGTTGGCCTTCTGTTTGAAGTACTGCTAGAAACTTCTAGAACAAACCAGTGATCAGCACTGATGTTCAAACCTCATCTAAGACAAGTTATCGATGTTCAGACTCCTTCTCTATTCCTATGATACCATTTAAACTAAGTAAAAGGCTGTTGATTGAAATATATACAGTCTAATAAGAACGAAGAAGGTTGAAACGACAGTATACTTTGTAAAAATTACTGAAGCTAAATGAAAATGAGGATTCTGATCTTCGACTGCTTTTAATATCAGTGTTTTTAACTTGCTTAAACTTAGCTTTTCCTTGTTTATAAACTTAAGTTATGTTTCTCTGCTTTATTTTACCTGAAACACATGCTTAGTATTAATGCATCACCTTGAATTTATTTTTGATCCAATTGATGTTTTCTGAATCATCATGCCGTATGCTTCTGTGACTGTCCTTCTTTGTGGAGGATTTTCTTACAACTTTGTTTTTTCCAAAAATTGAAGAATTCAATGAGTATAAGTGACATAAATTGTTTTTGATATAACATATTCGACTAGTAAACTCTGTTTTCAATAGTAGGGTCTCACATACATTATTTATGATGGTTCCATTTCTTATCGAATCACTAAATTCAGGCTAAACAGTAAATGTTCAAAGGTAATGCATGCAGTAAAGTCATTCTCAGTGGCAAGGAGTGTCAATCCTTTAGAAAATGAACATTCCTTGCTTCTAGACAGAAAACAAACCTTTCAATATCGCGATTCAAACTGATTAAGAAGCCAATATGAGAAATTAGGCAAGCTATCTTGAAATTCAGGAGGAACAAGAAACCAGTTAATTAGACAGATGAATCTTTATTTTCAAAAACAGAGATGATTCTTATGAAAGTTAGAAGATTTCCATATCTCTTACATTATAAATTCAGATTATTGTTAATACATCTAATTTCTCACGAAAATCGAGCTAAAGACAATTTTAATGTCAAAGTTAGTATAACAGCTTCAAAACATTCCTTGTTTTGCAGACTTAGAAACAGTATATGTGAGCTGGGCGTGCTTAGTGCATTTACACAAATATTAAAAACACGCTATGTGCGCTCAACATATTATTCAGGTTCATAATTTATCTTTTAATCAAATCGATCTACATTCTGCACGATAGTGAATAGAACAAAGTTTTAAGTTGTACAAAGCGACTCTTGAACTTCAGTCCAAGCAACCATATAATGGAATTCTAAAACAGTTGAAAAGAGCAATCGACGGCTAAAATGACAACTAGGGAATAATAATCTATATTATCCAGGTGATACGTTTCATATTAACAAAAACCAACGATTTAAACGCTTACCTGACTCCAAACCAAAAGTGACACTAGAAACAGATTCGCATGATTGATAAATTATAACAAAACTATGCGTAAGACAAGCTCCTGTAAACTTACCTCATCAAAACCATTAGAAATTAGTTAATTTTATCTAGCTTACTTATTTAGCTCATCTATCCAACCACATTTTGTCTAAAAGCACTTACAAATAATCTTAACGTAAATGATCTAGATGAAGGGTGGACATTATGGAAGAACCGTACTCTTAATTATTTATGCCCAAGTAAGTCGTAGGAATTCGGTATGAGATGTTGCGTTCAACCTTTGACAGAGTATGAAGTTTCCATCCAATATCCAGTGTCTTTTTCCTGAGCTAATATAAATCAGTTGATTTCTTTGCACTTGATTGTTGTTCTTGTGGTACGTTTCCATCTATACGGTAGTATCCGATGGATGATAGTCTAACCACTAGACTGTCTAATTGTATTCAGTCGGCAGTTATTTATAAATTTGTACGTCTCGTGATTTGAATAAGTAGGTTTGTTTCAGGGCAGTAGGGTTTCTGGATTCCAGCAGCTATCACTTTACTAAGGCAAGGATCATTTAGTTGAAATGTCGAGAATAAAAAGGAAAAAATTCTGATGATAATGATAAGATTTCAAAACTGAATAAGTAAGAGGAAAATTAAGTTTACTGATTGGTAATGTTAGTGTAAGAGGAAGGAAACAGAAATAATAAGGAAGACAGAATAAGTTGGTAAACTGAGGAGATGGCATTACAACTTCCAAGTTTCAAGACATGAATCAGTCATAGATGGTCAGAAAAGTAGATGATATTTCTTTTGTGAGCACGTGTTTAACAAGCATCTTCCTGAAGCTATCCACTGAGGGGGACTTCGGTCACCTCGACCAGGAGAGCATTCTAAGATGCAATAGCTCCTAATGCAGAAACCTGGCTTTTTATTCTTCGATGTACATTTTTTGAGGATTATCTCCGAAGGCGTGTTGATGACGATTCAGAAAAATGTACATGTAGTACACCATTATCAGATCACCTCTGAATCTTTAGTAACTCTGAGAGAATAATACCAAGTGCTGCAATCTATCTTCATAGGGTTTTTTCTTCAGCGCTATCACCCATGTAGTTCATCGGCTGTGCATCCGGTCTGCCTCCACATAAAGTGAACAGTTGCTTTGGCCTCGTATACATCCCCAATATGGTTTGAAATGGTGTTCCGGCTTCCTGTGGCTATTAATCCGAATTTACTGAC